GAGTCGTAGGGTAGCCACTGAATGGTTTTGATCAAGGGAATAACATGATCAGATTTAATGGCTCTAAAGAGGTTGGAAACAACCAAAAGGTCTGTCAGTAGAGTATTAATTCTTACATGGTGTATCCATGTTATAGAATACTTTTTTTTAAAAGATTTTATTTATTTATTTGACAGAAAGAGATCACAAGTAGGCAGAGAGGCAGGTAGAGAGAGAGGGGCAAGCAGACTGGCTGGGGTGCAGGTGCCCCTTTGGATCACTACATTTGTATCTTTGGGGTAAATACCCAGTAGTACAGTTGTTGAGTCGTAGGGTAGCCACTGAATGGTTTTGATCAAGGGAGTAACATGATCAGATTTAATGGCTCTAAAGAGGTTGGAAACAACCAAAAGGTCTGTCAGTAGAGTATTAATTCTTACATGGTGTATCCATGTTATAGAATACTTTTTTTTTAAAGATTTTATTTATTTATTAGACAGAAAGAGATCACAAGTAGGCAGAGAGGCAGGTAGAGAGAGAGGGGCAAGCGGACTGGCTCCCTGCTGAGCAGAGAGCCCTGATGCAGGGCTCAATCCCAGGATCCTGAGATTATGACCTGAACCAAAGGCAGAGGCTTTAACCCACTGAGCCACCCAGGTGCCCTTGGAATACTTTTTTTTTTTTTTTTTAAGATTTTTATTTTTTAAGTGATCTCTACACCCAACATGGGGCTCAAACTCATGACCCCACCATCAAGGGTCAGTGTCGCATGCTCCACCAACTGAGCCAAACAGACAACCATTTTTTAAGATGAGGCAGCTGTTTCCATTGCTATGGAAGGATCATGCAGAATTAGTGGGTATGGTATATTGCCATTTGAGTAGGAAAGGTAGGGTAGAAAACAAAGCTTGCTCTAGCTGTGGGATAGAGGGTGAAATGGAGTAAACAGACTAGAGACATGGAAACCAGTTAGGAGGCTAGCACTAAGGCCAGATGAGAAATGCTAAGAACCTGAATCAGGACAGTAGTAGTAGAGAGACTGATAAGAGAATATAGTGAAGATAATATAGAAGAAGATCTGGAGTCCAGTTGGCTGACAGAGAAGAAAATCTTTGATAATACCAGTTTTCTCTCTCAGCCACCTAGATGGATGGAGTCATTCATCCAGAAAGGAAATATGGGAGAGAGGAGGAAGAGTAGGAGTTTGAATTACACTTGGGTCTAGTGGCTTGGAGATAACAGAAAGACACAAACTAAAGGTGTCCACTCTAAGCATTTAGGGACATGGGTTAGAGGGGCAAATTTGGAATCATCACCTTACTGGTGGTTATTGAAGACACGGGAACAGAGGAGTTCACCCAAGGAAAGGCACAAAAAGTAAGGAAGAATCTAGAAGAAAACTAATACTGGCAAGGGTCATGGACCTACCATAGTGCAGGGTTACCTCAAGCCCGGTGTCTAGTGAAAAAGTGAGGATTGTGAGTCAGAGGAAAGAGAAACCAGCAAGGCACTGGACAAACTAAGCGCTGGAATCCTAGAAAAAAACTGAGGAATGAGAGGTTAGAGCAATCCACTCTAGAAACCTGGGGAAGTTAGAAGATACTGAAGGTCTGTACTATGCCTTACTGAACCTTCCCCATCCCTCTCTTTCAGATGACCTGCCCCGGGCAGAGGGTCTGGGGGCCAGTGAGGCAGCAGAAAGGCTGGGCCGGGGTTGTGTGTGGGATGTGGCTGGAGAAGATGGTCGTCACTGGAGGGTGTTCCGGACAGGACAGCGGGAGCAGAGAGTGGACATGACTGTCATTGAGCTCTATAAGAAAGTCCTCTCTCATGGAGGTAATTGCTCAGATATGTGGCAGGGAAAGACCTGCGACTTCCTGAACAGAATACCGAAATTGGAAACTCAGTCCCTGGGTTTAAAATCCTCAGAGTCCTTCAAGCTAAAAAGATGTACTGTCTGTCATACCTAGTTGTTGACTGAATGAATTTTCCCTCTGTCCTCTCCAGGTTACCATGGTGATGGCCTCAACGCCATTATCGTCTTCTCTTCCTGTTACCTACCCAGCAGCAGCATCCCCAACTACACCTATGTCATGGAACACTTGTTCAGGTGAGGTGGAAGCCCTGAAGGGCTCCAGGGGGGATGTTAAGGAGGGAAAAGTGAAAAAGAACCCCCTGGGATGCCTGGATGGCTCAGTTGGTTGAGTGTCTGCCTTTGGCTCGGGTCCTGATCCTGGGGCCCTGGGATCAAGCCTCACCTCGTTGGGCTCCCTGCTTGGGGGAGATCCTCTCCCTCTCCCTCTGCTGCTCCCCCTGCTTGTCCCTCTTGCTCCCCAAACCCCAAGCATGTACCTTCCCTGACAGTTGTGTCCCCTCCCGGCCCCCCAGGTATATGGTGGGAACTCTGGAGCTACTGGTCGCTGAAAATTACCTGCTTGTTCACTTGAGTGGAGGCACGAGTAGGGCCCAGGTCCCACCTCTGGGCTGGATGCGCCAGTGTTACCGCGCTCTGGACCGGCGGTGAGCCATAAGGGCAGGAGGGCCACAACTCCCACTACGCCTTCTCTTTCCCTCTTTCCATTCTTTCCTGTTCCATTTAGTCCCTTCCTCTTTTCCTTGTCTCTCTCCAACCCTTTCCAGGCCTCTCCCGTCTTCTGTACTCTCAGAGTCAGGGAAACCTGGTTTCAGATCTTGTCTCTATCATTTACCTGCTGTATCATTTACCTTGGACAAGTCACTTAACTTCCCTGGGACTCGGTTTTCTTCTCTGCATAATGGGAATGATAATAGCTTTGCCACTGGCCATGTGTGAAAATCCAGTAAATCGAGGTGGCATACCCCTTCCTTTTCTCCCTGTCTCACCAATTAGTTTACTGCCCAGGCTGCCATTTTCTGCTTCTGTCCACCTTCCATACCTGACCCATATGGCTTTGTTCCCTGAGATGTTCCTTTTCCCTTTTTCTTTCCCCCATCTTCCCTTTGCTCACTTTTCTAGCTCATTTCTTTTTTGTTTTTGGTGTCCTGGTCCTGGGAGGCATGGGAAAAGGGGAGTAGCCAAGAATTTCTGTGAGGGTAGGGCACAGGAGGGAGATGGGGCAGAAGGATTCTGACAAGAGGAATGCCTAAAAATGAGGAGCACAAAGGGCTAAACACAATGGGTGGAGCTCAGATTACAGGCCAAGGAGGGGGGACTAGACCCCACTGCCGGAGAAATCTAGAAACTGCAGACGTGAAGGAAGTTAAAGCACAGAACGTAGCCCCACCTGCTCTTCCAGCATGAAGTTAGAAGAAGAGTAGAATGATCTCTTTCCTATTCTTCAGGCTCCGGAAGAACCTGCGTGCCCTGGTGGTTGTCCATGCCACCTGGTACGTGAAGGCATTCCTGGCACTGCTGCGGCCCTTCATCAGGTACCAGCTCTGAGGACAAGGATGTCTTCTCCCCCATTTTCAAAATCAAGATGAAGAAGATTTTTCCCCAGCCTGGCTCTTTCTAGCCTTAACCACGCTCTGCTTGTTACATTGCCCTTTGTAAGGGTCTCCAGGAACCCTCTTCCCAGTACAACAGACAACCTGGTTTATCCTCCTCTCTTTTCAGTTCCAAGTTTACAAGAAAGATCCGTTTTCTGAACAGCCTGGGAGAGCTGGCCCAACTCATCTCCTTGGATCAGGTTCACATCCCTGAAGCTGTCAGACAGTGAGTCCTGAGCTTGAGGAGAAAAGTTTGGGGTGGGATGTATAAAGCCAGTTCCAGCTTTCTTAATGCCTTGGGGGAGATGCAGAGGAACTAAAAGATAGAGGCCCTGCTTCTAGATGCTTCGTTGTATCTGGGAAAACTGTGCCCACCCAGAGAAGAAATTAAGGCCTGCATCCAACAAGAACAAAGGAAAAAAATAAAACAACAACAAAAAAAACTATACATATAAGTGCTGAGGCATCAGAGAATAAAGGAATATTCACAGCACAGAACTTAGTCGTAGAAGTTAAGAAGTCAAGAAGGGCAGTAAAGCGGAGAAAATACCCAGTGGGGAGGGCCTAGGGGACAAAGGAGCCTGATGACCACCAGTTCAAGCACCCAATCTTTTGACTCTTCCAATTCTCTGGCTTCTGTCCCCAAACCAGTGAGTAAAACCCAGGTCCTATTTTTTTGTTTTTCTCTCCTAGGCTGGACCGGGAGCTCCATGGCTCACGAGGGACCTGAGGAAGAAAAGAATCAAGGGCCTTAGAACCAAGCAAAGATTAATCTGCCTATGCTCTAACCCTGAAACATCTGGGCTGTTCCCTAAACCACCTCCTCCTCAACCCCAGTACCACAGGACCTTCACATTTCCCTGGGGTCTCATTCCTCTCATGACCGTGCCTTCAAAGCAGGGCTCCAAAGTCTGGAACCTCATCTGCCCAGTGATCATCAATTCAGCTATAGGGGTGCATGTAGTGGCATCTTGTAGGGGAATGGGGAAGGCTGCGGGGTTTGGTCCTGCTTCAGCTGCAGAATCTTGGCAAATATAACCGCATTTCTCTGAGTGTCCTTTTCCTCCCCTGTAAGTGAAGGTGCTGAGACCCTTTCCACCCGGGGCATGCTAGCAGTCTGTGAAGCTCAGTGAGAGGTGGAGGGGAGGGCAGGGCTTAACTCACCGCGCAGCCTGCTGGGAACCGGGAGTCGGCTCCCTAAACCTGGAAGAACTGCAGCTCCCTTCTTTGTCACAGCTGTTGCCTGTGGGTCGGGGAAGGAGTGCTTTCAAAACTTGTACTTTTGTCCTCTTTAGTAAATTCCGATCCGTAGCGGTTAATAAACTGCGATGCGAGGTTTAAGCCCGGCTCCGAGTAAGTGCCCTACTTGCCTAGGCCCATAGCATCACAATGCGTCGGTTGGTTCCGGCACGGCGTTCTGGCCGAGGTGGTTCCTCGGTTTTTTATCTCAGCCCTGGGGGCTGCTCCGCGAGGGCCCGGGGGAGGGGCGTGGCGCGCGCACACGAGGCCCCCTCTCCCCTCCCCATCCGCAGGCCGCGGTTCAAACGACCCGCTGGGTCGCGAGCAGAAGGGAGGGAGAGAAGGTAGGAGTCCCGGCCTCCCTCGCTGGCCTCCCTCTCAGCCGCACACCCGCCGGCCCCATGGTCCCCGCCGCCGGAGCGCTGCTCTGGGCCCTGCTGCTGAGTCTGGGGCCCCGGGCGGCGGGGGCCCAAGGCCTGACTTCCACCGAGACCCAGCGGGTCAGTTTCCGCTTCGGGGTCCCTATGTCCCGCCACTACCGGACCACCCTCCGGACCGGTGGCCCCAGGAGGATGAAGGTAACAATGGAGGATGAGGATGACGTCGGATCCACTGTCGAGCGCCTAGCAGGCCCGGCTGCTGCGGAGCTCTTGGCCTCCACGGTGGCCACAGGCGTCAGCAAGTCGATTGTGTCCTCGGCCGAGGAGGATGAGTCTTTGGAAGAGGGGGTTGTTATTAATGCCAGAAAGAATAACATCACTGCAGCGTCTCTCAGCAGGGGTTACAATACAGCGAGGGTGCCCAGCTCGAAGTTTAAAGCAAATACCCAGGAGGGGGAGATCAGGATGTCTTCAGACGTGCCGGCCAACACCTGGCAGCCTACTGGGGGGGAAATACAGCACCCCGACAGTACCATGAGCCAGTGGTCCATGGCCGGGTCCACCCCTAACCGGTGGCAGCAGCTCTCGCACACGGCCATGCCCCCTCCCGAGGATTTGAGGCTGGTGCTGATGCCCTGGGGCCCGTGGCACTGCCACTGCCAGTCAGGCACCATGAGTCGGACCCGGTCTGGGAAGCTGCAGGGCCTTTCTGGGCGCCTTCGAGTTGGGGCGCTGAACCAACTCCGTACAGAGCATCGGCCATGTACCTATGAGAAATGTCCGTGCAACCGGCTTCGGGAGGAGTGCCCTCTGGACTCCAGCCTCTGCTCTGACACCAGCTGTACCACTCAGACCACCACCAGTACTACCACCACCACTACCACCACCACTCCCACACCCACTCTCAGCTCTAGAATCAGACCTACACCCTTCCTCTTCTTTGGCCCCAGCCCCAGCCCCAGTCCAGCCCTTGCTTTTTGGAGACGGGTCAGGATCGGGCTGGAGGATATTTGGAACAGTCTGTCTGCAGTGTTCACAGAGATGGAACCAGTAAGTTGTTTGCATGAAGTGTTACTTACCTAGTTTCCCCGCTGATGTGTAATATGCTGGTTACTCACATCTTTGGCTGCTGATTCCACCTGTTTCTTGAGCAACTGTGGGTTGGTTAATGGGACAACATGTACTACTGGTCATGGGAGGATTATGGCCCAAATCGTAAGAATTATAGCTGTATCAACAATTCTTGAAGCCGATCATAGATATGGAAGATATTAATAGTTCTCAGCTTATTAATAGTTTAATAGTAACAACAGCCAGTATTTGAGGTCTTACTATGTACGCTCTACCTGGATCGATCCTCACAATGCTGTGAGGTGTAATTATCCCCACTTCACAGAAGGAATGGGGGTTTACAAAGCTAGTAAATGACAGTCACAACAGGATTGTTTGACACTAGTGCTGATGCCCCTGACCACCACTATCCCAAAGGACTCCTGGGATTATTTCCAGCAATTTCAGAATTCTTCAGGAAGGGTAGTCCTCTGCCTTTACCAAATGAATTACCAAAGGCTCTGATTGGATAAAAAATTCTCAGTTGACAGGGTTTCAGGAACTTTGGGGAGAAGGACAATAAAATAGTACACGTGGCCTGTCATTTTGCTAGTTTTTATCTTTCTCCTTGGGTATTCAATACCGTTAATTCAGTATAAAAAGGTAGCACAAACGGGACAGTCAGTGGTGTTGAGGGAATGAGGGCTTTTGGGGAGGGAGACAAAGCAAGGAAGGGAAAAGAATATAGATATAGTTGTAATATTTTCTCTTTTTATTTTGTTTCCTCACCCAGCTAGAGAAAAACCGCAGGTAATGGCCACTTCATCTGCAAGAGGTTTCAGCATCTCAACCTTTCCACCCTTTTCGATCCCAGCACCCACTGGATATTTTTAGTACAGAAAAACAAAACTAGAAAAAAAAATTGTTTGGTCTTGTGTCTTTTTACAGAGGTATCTGAGGTGGAGACCAGAAATCTCTTGAACCTTAAAACTGAAATGTGTAACCAGCAGCATTGGGCCTGATCCCTCCTCTTGTCCCCCAGCATATTTTATCCCCCCCTCCATAATGTTGATGTTCCTCCTCTGCTTCATTTCCAAAGTCATTTTTAAACAAGTGATTGTTTAAAGACTTGAAAAATCTCAGATGAATGCCAAGAGGAGGGAACAGGAAGAATGAGTTGAGCCCTTGGAAGATACTGGTGGTCTTCTCCTTGCCTTCACAATACTTGGCCTTCTGTCCTTGCGAAGGGCGAAGATAGCACAGAATTCCACGTCAGCTACTTTTTAGCAGTTACCTTCATCAACTGTATCTATCCTTTGACCCCAAACATGCCTGTAGTGAATACTCTTCAACTACTTTGCTTAAACATTTTTTATTTGAAAAATGTATTTAAAAGTCCAACACATTTTTAATATAAATTATGACTCTCAAACCCGTTGCCATCACTCTTAAATACAGTTCAAGTGATGGTAGCATACACGTTAGAAAAGGTAGCTAAAGGCAAGAGAATACCAAGGACTGTGGCCAAAGAAGAGGCATTAGGATAAGGTGGTAGAGCGTGGTGACCAGAGTCCATGAGTCCCCCCATCCTTCTCCCCTAGGACTCCTTCAGACTGAATATAACCCTCAGGCTCTTAAGCGACTTGAGGACAACCTATGAGCTACTTTCAGAACAACTAGCTACACTGGAACAGAGGAAACTGGGAATGTATGACCAATCTTAGACCCTGAAAAGTGGCAGGAAATACACTGAAATTGGAACAAGATCAGAACCTGTCACTGTAGGTAGGGCAAACTGGGTGGATGGTGGACTCAGCAGAGTGTATCCTACTTCCCACCTTCCTGACACCTTCACCATCAAATAGGATGCTTCTTGTTGCTGAGCTAATGAGAGACCCCCATCCTCTCAGTCAAGAGCCGGAAGGAGCTCACCGGTCTCGTTCTGCCTTTCTAACCACCCTGAGGGAAGGGGCCAAAAGAAAAAAAACACCTGAGAAAACAAACTGCCTAAAGACCCTCCTCCTGCAATATTTTCCCACCTAACACAGACTCTTCAGCCAGGTGGGGAGTGGGACCTGGTCTTCAGACAAAACTCCCTGAGTCTTATTTGTGTCTGGTTCTAGGACTAGGACACAGAAATGGAGCTTAAAGTTTGCAAAGGATAAGCCTGGGTTTCTATGGCTCTCCTTTTTCCTCCCTCCCTTCCCCAACCTCACCATGCTCAGTTCATGCCTCCACACTTCAGGAATCCCTCCTCCAAAGAAGAATGGAGAACAGTACAATCCAGCAGAGACACGAACCCATGCAAACCACAAGCAACACACTGAATAAAGGGCTGTTTTCGACATTGTGTGCGGCCCTAGTAAGCCTACTTTGCAAGAGGGCCTGGTTCATCTGTGGCTCAGGCTTAGGGTGAAGGATGGGATGAGAGTAGGGTGGGGAAAACACTTTGGAGAAAAATACCTTGACTCTCGAGCAGTGGTTCTCACTTAGGGGTGATTTTGCCTCCTAGGAGACATTTGGCAATACCGGGGGCGCATTTTTGGCTGTCGTAACTAGGACAGACACCCTACTGAATGTCCTATAATGCGCAGGACAGTCCCTCATTACAAAGAATTATCCAACCCAAATGTCAGAAGTGCCTAGGTTGAGAATCCTTGCTCTGAAGGTTTCCCTGCTCCCATGCGGTGAGGATCTAACATCCCTAACCTCACAGATTGTTTTTAACCTACCACGCCTCTCATCCTCAATGGTTAGGATGTACATTCTCAGACATACCTCTTAGTTTTGCAGCATTCTGAGTTTCTCTCCAGATCCCTCTTCCTCCTCACCTGAACCAGCAGGGAGATTGGCAGAGGGCAGGCCAGGTCCCCAAGACTTAAATGGGATCCCATCAGGTTAAGACCCACTTCTTACCTTAGGTTTCATTCAGTGGGAAACAATAAGGTTCCTAACGGGGGTAGGGCTGAAGGCAGAGGTAGTAGAAGGAGGGGGGTAATTAAGAGAACTCATCTTAAATTAAACTTTTAATTAATTTAAAAAGAAAGATGTTGGAGAACTCACAATGCTGCAGAAACAGGGTTAGAGGCCTCCTGGAGAAAGAGCTGGTAGTGGCAGAGAGAAATAGAGCTTAAGTTTTGGGACCTAAAGAGAAAGAATAGATAGACTAGGCAGTGGTCACCCTCCTACCCCTGCTTGACATCTGTTTCAGTTCATTCCAGGAGGAAAATGGAGAAGGGCAGGGAGGTAAGGAGCTTCTCGGCAAAGCCGGCTTCAGCTTTGGTAATCTCACCCACCTACCCCATTTAAGGAGTTCCAGGTTAAGAGTTTAAAAACAGATGGCACCTAGATCGTCATTCAGGAGAAGGGAACACCTTCCATGTTCCCAGAAAACTCCTATCTCAGATCTGAGAGTGTCCAGGGCTTCAGCTGAGCTCCTCTGGCCAACCAGTAGTCACTTGGTCAGTCCTGCTGCCTTGAGCCCATCTCCAGGAGGGGCTAGAGCCAGAGGGAAGAGAGGGAGTCCAGCCCCCAAGCCTTCTGAGGCACTAATAGGCAAAAAGGGAAAAGAGGGGCCCTGGGGTCACTGGTTCGAGGAGGGGGCACCATCTCTTCTGGGCTGGACATGGAGCAGAGGCTTCAGACAGCAGAACCTGATTATAAAAGAAATTGAAGGAAGATAAGCCTCAAGGAAAACTGAGGCAGTCAGGGAGAAGGCACCACCTAGCACAGACTCTAGACTATTTCCAGGGAGCTCTTCTCTCGATTTCCGTCTGCACCTCCCTCTCTCTCTGCCTTTCTACATCCAAAATTCTTGACCCCTCCATTCTTATTCATTCTTCCTCCTCTCACCTCCCATTCTGGCAGAGATCAGGGTTCCGAGGTAAGGCATCAGGATGCTGACAGGGGCTGGAGGTACTGAACAGGTTTCTCTACTCACTCACCGTTTCTGTTGGAGCTACAATCCCCTAGAATTGCTCCATGGCCTGTCTCGGTTTCCCTTGGATCTCATCTGCTCCTGAACTGCACCTGTCTGTGAAAAAGCACATGGGAGACCCTCACCCCAAGTCCAGGTATCACACAAGCAATCTCCCCTGTGCCCTCCATGAAGAGGCTCACCCCATCTCCCTGGCAATAAAGTCAATCTGAAAAGGTTAAAACCAACAGCCATTCTTCCAAGGAAGTCTCAAAGTCTCCCTTCATACTGACTCTCATGAGGGTGAGATAAAATGGGTCTTCGACTACTAAGTCCTCTCACGAAGGACTCTCATATTTTTCTGAGTTTTGCAATCAGTGAAAAGCCTCCTTCACTATGTCCAGGCCCATTTCCCTTATGTTGAGAGCAGAAGAGAGTATCTGGCGTTACTTAGAACAGGAGTGTGCAGCCTTCTTCCTGCCTCAACATACCCAGCCATGATATGACTTACTATGGCACTGGAATAGCAGTTCTTAATTAACAGAAGGGTTTTGGTTGTTGGCAAAAGCCCTCCAAATAACTCCTGGGTCATATATATTCCCCACCCTGATGAAGAACAATCTGCTAAGTGTAAAAATAAGGGAGCCTACGCCAGAGACCTGAAATGCCAGGTCTCAGGTTTGTGCAGCTGTTGGCCAGGACTAGAATCCTAGCTTCTTACTTCCCCACCGGGTATTTACCATGTCCCCAGCTCACACTTCAGCAAAGGGGAAAGGTTCTAGGCCACAATCCCATATCACTCTCTCCCCATTCTCTTGTTACCATGGCAAGTCCATCTCCGGCCCCCATCTCCCCAGAGCCAATGTGAGTCAGGTGGACAAAATTCATCGGTTCCCCAATCATGGTCCGGTCAATTCGTCTCCTTTTCTTCTTCTGTTTAGAGAAGACAGGGGGGAGTTAGGTCTGCAACTGGAATAAGGGAATGGAGTCCTGAAAATCACTAGGGGTAGAGCTAAGGGCCCAATGGGCAAGGGTATGTGGCATCACAACAAGGAAATCACTAGGGTATGAAAGCCAAGTGTGGAATAACATAAACACAGAAAGGACATAGGGAGGGTGGTGAGTGCAGGGGCCCGCAGAGGGAATACTAGACAAAGAAAGGACATATACAAGTCACCTCTGGCTGATGAGGAAACAATGGGAAAAACTGACAGGTATTAAGCTCCACCTACAACCCCTGCCCAAGTGAGAATGGACAAAAACAGGAAGTGATAGCTAGGACAATTCACTTCCACCATCACGCAGTCCCCCTCGATTCTAAGTACACACCTGCCTGGCCAGAGAGACTATCCTGAAGGAGAGGGAAGCAAGCAGCGTGCCTTCTAGGCACCAGATCATAGGTGGTGTGTCTGCCTCACAGGCCCGGGTAACTAGATTCTTTGTGCACCAGGGTGGGGGTCGGGGCTGGGGGACTCACCGGCTGGGGTTTCTCTACCACACAGCAACCCAATTTGTGCCAAAATTCACTCATGTTCCCTGATGGTTCCAGTTTCACTCCTCTGCCTGAGGCCCCAGAGGGCTCTTGCTCTGGTGCCTTGACTGCCCACTCTTCCGTCCCTTCAGGTGTGACAACAGCCTGAGTCTACTCAGCCGCACGAGTCTGGAGACAGCAGTGTCCAAGGTACCCTTGGCTGGGCAGGGAGGGTCAGCGTCTCAGACTGAGGGGTCAGCAGGGCCAAGGCAGGCTGAGCAGGCAGGCACGAGGTTATGTATTCCTCAGACGCAGAACCCTGGATGAGCAGAAAGTGAAGAGAAAAGAAAGTTAGTGAGAAATCCCACCTCTACCATGTCTCCCTCCTTGACAAGCCTCCTGATGAGGCCAGATCTTCTCATTCTCCCTTGAAGGTCCAAATCCTGCACCCAACACTAACCCCTCTAAACAGAAGGACCTCCCAGTTTGACTCCCAGAGAAAGAAAAGATCCAGAAGGGCACCAAGGGGTAGAGGCGCTGCAGCTGCTGGAACCAAGAGAGAGGAAGAGGACAGAAGCATTTAGGGCGAGGATGGGAGAGGCCAAAGGCTAGTGGCAGAAATGAGCACAGTTTGGGGGTGCTACAAGCCCCACGTTCCTTCTCCCCGGTTTTAGGGCAGAAAGGGAGGGGCAGTTAAGTGACTTTGAAGAGGAAATGGTGGTTTTTCGTTCTCACAAACAAGACCTCCGCCCTTGTTCCTCCCTTTTTCCTTACCTTACCCTGAACATCTAGATTTTCTTTAAGACTGCGACCTTGACTGCCCAGGTTGTGGGTGACTAACTGCAGCAGTTTGGACCTCAAAAAAGACTTTTCCTACACTGAGGAATTTCTTCCCTCTCCATTCCCTGACCTTGCTCCTCCTCATTTCCCTCAGCTGAGATCCAACCTCTCCCAGAAGCCACCCAACAGTTCCTTTATTACTTGACCTTGAGATCTTTCCTGAAGGCTGTCTGCAGCCTGTTTATCTGTGTCCTGTGTGTCCACCTGTGTGTGCACTCTGGTGGCACAGCCATTTCTGTGCATGTGTGTCTGGTACAGACCATTTGCACACTGGTTGTAGGTACGTGTACTTGGTGTCATCTGTTCCACGAGGAATCTTTCTCCGGACTCCCCACCCTCTTCCCATGTCCTATCGTGCCCCTCTGCTCTGCCTCACGCCCCATAAGGCCCAGGCCTCCCCACCTGCCTCCTCCCCTCATGCTGGAACCTGTTTTCTCCTCCCTTCTCACCACTTCCATTCCCAAGCTTCATCAGCCAACCAGACACAAGGAACTTTATAACAGCGTTAGTGTCCAAGGAAGAACTTCCTCCCCTTTTCCTCACTGCCAGCCAGGTTAGGGCCCATCTGGGTTTCCTCTGTGCTCACTGCACTTCCCCAGGCCTATGATATAGACAACCTCAAAGATTCAAAACAGGGCAGTTTCACAAATATTACACTCCAGCATGAACAGGAATCTCCCTCCTTTCCAGGCCTGGAACCCCAATGCTCTGGCATCCTAAACTCATCTAAGAACTGAGAGGATTTTTTTTTTTTTTAATAACCCTGGGATGAGATCACAGGCACACGGAGATACAGCCTGAAGGGGAGAGAAGAACCCAGAAGCCTCGGGTTTGGCTTACTTCCCTTCCCACCACTGGAGGGGAGGAGTAATGAGACAGGGCGGAAGTCAGAACACAGCGTCCAGAGAGGGGAGCTGTGGTCAGTGGGGAAGTCAGTCAGTCAGTCACAGGGTTTGTCGCAATGGTGGTGGTGGCAGCTGGTAAGGGTTGCAGGCGGGGGAATGAAGAAAACAATGAAGAATCAGAGGAAACCCCCAATACCACCAGACAGACTGTACAGAGCATGGACTCTCTCCCAACACTCGTTCTGAACAAAGCTGAGTGGACAGAAGTGGAGGGTGGGAGGGGAGAGGAGAGAAGAGGGGAGAGGAGAGGGAGGGAAAGGGGCAGTGGAGGGAACAAGGACGTTTCTGTTCCCTTTCCAGGGGCCTAGCCAGAGCTGGGTTGAGGAAAAGTGTATGTGGGACTTGGCACGAAAGGGCCAATGATGATGATAAGTGACCAGGAAATTCCATTCCCTAGGACACAGAACATAAGGGTCTCTGAAACTTGGCAGTGGGGTCAGAGTGTGGAGAAGACTGGGCAGGGTGAATGTGGGCGGTGGTGAGGGGACAGGGCCAGAAAAGGAAGTAAGAGCCACTCTCCTTTTTAAAAATATCTAGAGAAGAGTGGGTTGAGGAAAAATGAAGTCCTGAGCTGGTAAGCGCAGGAAGAAGAGGCACCCAAATTCAAAGCCCACGATTTTAGGCCCCCCACCCACCCCCAGGGGAGGGGAAGGGGCTGGGAAAACAGCAGGAGGAATCAGGATTGGACTATGTAAGGCCTTATCCTGACAGACAAGTAGCACTGAGAACTGGGCCAGAGTCCCAAACAGGAAGGGTGAAATAGGGAGCTAGGAGACACCAAGGTCACATTGGGGCTTAGGGAGCTTCCAAACTATTGGGGAGTGAGCAGGAGGAGGGATGGGAGAAAGGTTCCAGAGAGGAAGGATGTACAGAGGTAGTTCCCGGGTCCTGTCCTAGCCTGAAACCGGTTTTCCCGGTCCCGCTGCCTTCAGCCTCAAGGCCTCCAACCCGCTGCCCGACAAGCCTTCACAAGAAGCAGCTGGAGAAAGAGAAAGAGAAAGAGAATGGAGAGAACAGAGTGGGCAACTCTGGCTCCAAGCCCGGGGCTGCAGCTGGTTCCTTGTGGAGACCTCCAGATGTGGAGGGGTGCTGAGGGGCAACAGAGAAGTAGGCGGACACGCACTTTTCAACTGACAGGCATCTGCCCCAGCAAACTCTGTTCTCCCCCCACAAGAAAGGTCTTGCGGGGGTGGGGGGGGGGCACATACAAGCAAACAGGGCTGGGCCCTAAGCTCCCTCCCCAGCAGATTCAGTCCCACAGACTCCATTTCTGCCCACTCCCCACCTCTACCCAGAAATCCTCCGCTCCTTCCAAAGCTGAACCAGGATTGGGATCTTGCTGTGAATTTTTCGGATTCTGTCACTGTCTTCCGTGGTTGCTTCGGGCTCAGACTCAGCCCTTCCAAGACCCAACTGGGCTTCGCTCTGTCCGGCCCACGCCACCACGGAGTTCAGTGAGTCTCGAGGAGAACTTCTCCCCCTCTCGCCTCCCGACGCCCCCCCAGCACCCCGACACCCCAGTCCCTTCCTGCCCTCTACAGCGGCCTCGGCCTGAGCAGCACACGAACGGTGGAGGGGACCGAGACTGTGTCTCGGGGAGCGCGCCCCTTCTCCCCCCCCGACCCAGCATCTCCGCGGCCTCCCTCCTCCCCCACCCCCAGCATCCGGTGCGCCTCCGCCCCTCAGCGCAGGCGGGGCGCCCGGGCCCGGGCCCCACGCGGCGGTCTCACCTGCAGCGCTCCCGCATCGAGGCGTGCGGCTGCGGCGGGTGGGGGGGGCTCCGGCGTCGGGCCCTCCAGTGTGGGCTTCCCGGCCTGGCTCCGCGGCGCGGCGGGGGAGCCGAGGGCGGGCCGGCAGAGGTGGGGCTGGCTCAGGGCGGAAACGGCGGCGACGCGATTACGAAACCCGTCCGGACCAGAGCTGGGCGCACTGCTCCCCGCTGGACTGGTGAGGCACTGCACCGCGCGGGGCAGTGGGAGGGGGCCTCGCAGCCCCCGACGGCCGCCGCCCCTGCTGCACGGACTGGGGACATGGAGCCCACGCGGGGGCTTTCTCCTGAGCCGGACCCCGGAGCTGCGCAGTCCGCAGTAGCACGTCCCCTTTGCGCGCCAGGCCTTGCGGGGCAAAACTAATAGGAGCACCCCCGACCCCCCGGAGCCAGCCAAGTTGAGAGATTCGCGGGGGCACCCCCCCAACACACACACACACCCTCCCCACACACACATACCCCCCACCCAAGTTCTCTCGTGCTCTACCCAAAGTGGAACGGGGCTAGGTTTACTCATTGTGAGGGTGCGGAGGCGAGCCGCCAGAGGAGGGTAGGGATTGGAGGGAGGGGTGGAGGGTTTTTCTGATTCTCAAAAATAAAACACTTCGTAACTTGAAATCCTTAAATTGGGGAATAAGGGGACACTCCTCTATTGTTATCTAGAGCTAAGCTTTTTAATCCATAACCCTAAAATTAGGGGACAATTAACTGCTCATTCATTGCACCCCAGTCAGCATGGGGGTGCTGTAAGAGCTCGGGAATAATTGTGCCGACCAATAAGCCTACGGAGATGCTTTAATCCTTTCTCCCTCCCTAAAGTGTTCTGGAACCTATCATTTGAATTAGCCGAGTCAGGCAAGGAGGGGGCGGGGAGTCTTTCCGCCCTTCTTAGGAGGGGCTGCATTGCAGGGGGAGACTGAACAGATAGACTCTGCCACAGAAGAGGGAGAGGGAGTGAGAAGACAAAGCCGTCAAAGCCCAAACAGCTTTCTTTTTCTCCAGCCCAGAGCAGACGCCGGAGCCCCCCTCCCCCGCCCCGAGGTACTCCTTGCATCTTTGGAACACACTAGTAATTCACTGATAACAGGTAAATTAATTGAGGGAAGGGGGGCAAGGGGTTGCAAAGATAGAAGAGTAGCTGCTTCTGGTTAGGTTGAAGACCCTAAATAAGGATAAGGTTGGGGGACAGCTCAAGAGGAGAGAAGGGGGCGCTATGAACAATGAATGGTTTTTTGGTCCCCTTGTTCTATCTCTTTGCTAAGATCTCCATCCTTGCCTTCTAATCCACAGACATTAATTTCTAACAATAATTTCTAACAATATACATGTAGCTATCATTTCTCAGCATTTATCTATTTTCCTATAATTTGTCTTATGTATTTTATTATCCTCAGTTATCTGTATCTTTTTCAAGCTATAATTTTTTTGATGAATGTTTAATTTTTTGTGTGTTTTTTGATGAATCCCTAGTCTTCCTGTATTGCTCTAACCTGTACTTCCCCATATTTACTTTTTTTTTCCCCCATCGTGTTCCATTGTGTGTCTACCTTCACCCCAAACTGATTTGTCTCCATAGGAGGGAATTTGCAGAAGGGGTGAGATAACAGTCTCCCACTCCCTGTAACAAACCTTTGTTCCAAAGAAAGAGGCAGCTTGAAGTAGGAAGGTGGGGTCCTTTGTGTTGTGTTGGAGAATTGCCTGATCCCATTTTGAAAACAGTACAGCCCAGAAAAGGTGCATATGGTCCCAGATTCTGGAAAGGCTTATTTGCAGCTCATTGGGAGTAGATGAGGGAAGGACATGGCCAACAGGAAAATCCAAGACCAGAATGAGGCAAATATAATGAGATGCCAGAGAGCTTCCATCCCCTCCAACCACCATCCCTTGTCCTCCTCCCTACCCCCCCTTAAGGTGGCAGCATGACACAGCAAGGCCCTGTTGGGCAGGCCTTGGATTCCCACAGAGGGTCTAGACAAAGGGTATTTGGGTGTGTCTTTGTGGCTCAGAGTGTGTCTTTTTATACTATACATTTGCTAATCATGTATCTCTAAGAATAGATGGTGATATTTAGAAATCACCTTTGCCTAAAATATCTGGATAATTTAAAATGAAGGAAGACGTATTTATTGAGTGTATATTGTGGTCCAAGCCCTTTAAGGAATGTAAAGAAAGATGAGGTATGTATGGGTGGAGAACATTTGGGGAGGGGAAGAGAAAGCTTACTGGAAAGGGACCTCTTGCAAAATTTGGAAATTAAATCCATACTATATTAAATACCAAAAGTTCATTACTAATGAATGTAATGTAATGTAGATGGTGCTTTGTTTCAATTTTCTGTGTAGTCAGTGTTCTTGACTTGATTTTAAATGCCATACATGCTGATGTGAGTGTCTTTCTAGAATGCATTTGTACCCACTGTACAGTCTCTGAGTCAAGGCATAGCCAGAGATTTTAGGCCTTGTGACTTAATACTTCATAGAATTTCCTTTAGCATTTTTAATTGCAAGATACACTCTTCCAGACACTCAGGGATAGTTCGGACACTTTTTATATATACTCTGGTTTTAAGAAAAGGAGTTAGTTTGTCAAAGAGCTTTTTCCCTGTCTCAGATTCTAGCTTGCTCTCTACTGCCTTTTTTGCATTTTCATCATTCAGATCAGAGTCACTGGGAATATTCAACACCTAATCCACTGAATATCTGTTTTTCAGGAACCAAAACAATTCTTGCAAGTTTTGAGAATATTGGTATAGGATTATATAAAACTGTGGGTAACTATCTATTTACAGTACAGCAAAAAAAGACCAGATTGGGAATGAGACCTGGGTCCAACTGCCTAGAAGGCTTCAGAAGTCGCTAGATAATTTCTCACATTCTTTCTTTCTTTCTAAATATACACTATGTTATAGCCCAGAATATATTTATTTTATTTATTCCATTTTGAAAGTAATCTCTACATCCAACATGGGGCTCAAACTCACAACCCCAAGATCAAGTTCAACGACTGAGCCAGCCAGGCACTCCTAACATGTTTCTTAGTTTTAAAATTGTATGTTCTTTTAACCCCCTATGATTCTGTTTTTTTAAAGAATGTACATGTGGGGGCGCCTGGGTGGCTCAGTGGGTTAAAGCCTCTGCCTTTGGCTCAGGTCATGATTCCAGGGTCTTGTTCAGCAGGGAGCCTGCTTCTCTCCAGGCCTCTCTGCCTGCTTGTGATCTCTGTCTGTCCAATAAATAAATAAAATCTTTAAAAGAAAAAAAGAATGTACATGTGCCCAGCATTTATACTAAGCTTGCTGTGGAGGGGACTGGTAAGGGAGGGGATATTTTAAAAAAGCCAGCAAGGTAGGCAAATAACTGGTAATCTTGGGGAAGGGGGAAGAAAGGAAGGAAGGAAAGAAGGGAGGGAGGGAGGGAAGAAGGAAGGAAAGAAAGAAAAGAAAAAGGAAAAGAAAAGAAATCAGAAAAAACAAGGGGAAAAAATCCCTGTGGTCAGTCTGTAGCCCGTAACACTGACGATTCCTGAGGTTTGCATCTTGGAATCTCCATAGTCCCAGACTGAAGCCTGGAGTTGGTAGGCTGAGAGGTACAACCATTTTTTGTAGCTCTCTTTCTGTACATGTCTCTGCAAATTACTGTGGAGATGATCAGAGCTGAATATCATAGGATGATGACCTCACCTTTCTAACATGCTCCCCCACCCTGTTCCAGTCCCCACATAACCCTCCTTCTAAGCAGCTTCTCTGCTGAGTAATGCTCAGTTCCCAGGGTTTATTTTGGAGCCTGAACCTCAGAAGAGCAAGAGCAATTGACAATTGACTTTTAACATTAAAAACATCCTAGTCTGCCCACTCTCCAGTCCTGAAGCCCCTACAATCACACATAACCACGCTCTAGATTAAGGCTTTCTTTTTTGGCCCTAGTTGAGATGGTTTACATTATCTGGGGTTATAGAATTTCTGTAGTATAGTGGTTATCATGTTCACCTAACACGTTTTATGGAGGCAGTTGGGAACCTATTTAAGGCCACTATTTATGAGCCTCAAGGTCTGCTAGGAGCCAATGGAGTGCGTTGGGAGGAAGGCCTTTTCAAACGGGGGTTCTATTTTTGGAGGCAATGGAACGTTCTTTCTGCTTCTTTGGGAATATTTCAACCAAGGCTTTGGCCCCTTCTCTTGGCTAGTAACCAGCAGGAGGAAGGAGATATAATAGTCATATAACATCAGGGTGTGGGTGGAATGAGCAGAAAAGGTGATAGGAGCACTCCTTGAAGCATGGAAAAGTATCTAATTCTGAGGAGGGACTTTTCTCCTTCCAATCTAAGCTCTCACTCTCCTTTTTTTTTTTTTTTTTTTTAAGATTTTATTTTTTTATTTATTTGACAGACAGAGATCACAAGTAGGCAGAGAGGCAGGTAGAGAGAGAGAGGAGGAAGCAGGCTCTCCACTGAGCAGAGAGCCCGATGTAGGGCTCGATCCCAGGACTCTGGGATCATGACCTGAGCTGAAGGCAGAGGCTTTAACCCACTGAGCCACCCAGGCTCCCCTAAGCTCTTACTCTCCTTACCTGGAATTTCCAATCCATTTGCTCTCAGGTATAATCTAGCATTGGGATCAGAGAAAAAAAGGTCTTGTTAGAACGTAGGAAAATTCTTTTAGTACCTGGGTTTTGTTTTGAAGGAGAGGTAGGCTAGAGAGAAATAGAGGCTATTAAGGCTTATCTGTGGGCTAATAGGTGTGGGGGGGTTTGGCAAGGTATGGATTGTATTAAATAGAGAAAATTAATCAGCAGCCTTGAATGTCTTATTGTGTGTAAAGCCCAGCACTTGTGAAGAAGGTGTAAAGTCGACTGGTTTTTACCTTTAGGGAAACTCTGTTTCTTGAAGGAGAGAGACTATCCCTATTCAAGACACATAACAGTGATCTGTAGCCCCAAACTGGTAATAGTCAGGTAAAACTATACAGGGTGTTGGTGGAGATGCTGAAAGATACAGAATAGAGGGAGCTGAGTAAGTTTAAGGATGTTCTCCTGGAAAAGGTGAGTTTATAGCAGGGTTTAAAAGGCAGAGAGGAAAACAGAAAGCAGAATTGTCATGGAAGCCCTTTTTAGAGGTACCTATTAAGCCAAAATCAGGAAAAAGTCAAGGATTTACTAACATAAGGGTTTGGGGGAAAGATTCCTCTAAGGACTTGAATTCCTAGGGAATTCTAGGGACTCCTCCAGTAGTCTTGAAACTTGGGTACTTATTTTAAGACGGAGAGTAGAGGAGCTTCCAGGTTGGTGAAAACACATGGAGATGTGGGAGAACAGTGCACCTGTTCTCTGCATGGAAGGGGAGGGCATGGAAGCTCTGCACCCTTTCCCTATACCCCTGGCCTTGTGCATCTCTTCCATCTGCTGTTCTTGGTTATAGTCTTTTATAATAAACTGGGAATCTAGTAAATTAAAAAAAAAAAAAGATGAGAGAATAGAGGGAAAAAGCAAAGAGTAGAGAAAGTTAAGCAGGACAGGAATGAGCATAACTAGCAGAGAATGTGCTACTGCTAGGAAGGTTGGGGCCAAATTCTAGAAAGCCTTGAAAACCAGACCCAAATTGACTTGAAGAAGTAGGCAGTGAAACAAGTCATTCCAAGATGGGGAGAAGTTAGGAAATGGTAAAAAATGGTAATAAATGTAGGGGGTCCCAAAGCTTGTTCTAGGGAACTTGGATCATGTACAGAGGAAATGAGGATGTAAAGTTTTTAATAAGGAAAGGCCATGGAACATGAAGAGGTTGCTGTAGCATGAAGACTAACAAGTGGTTTCTTTCTAGGAAGTTATGAGGGATCCTGTGAGTAGCCAGTACAGCTCCTTTCTTTTCTGGAGGATGCCCATTCCAGAACTGGATCTGTCGGAGCTGGAAGGCCTGGGTCTGTCAGATACATCCATCTACAAGATCAAAGACAGCAGCGCTGGCAAAATGACCGGGCAAGCAACTGGAGAACAGGAGAAAAACTCCGAAGGCGATTCCCTCCTTGAATACAGCACCTTCAACTTCTGGAGAGCTCCCATTGCTAGCATCCACTCCTTTGAATTGGACTTGCTTTAAGCCCAAGACTTCTCTTTCCCAGCACCTGCTGTCACTGTCTTCCCTTTCAAGCCCCTTCCTTTCCACCCTTTCCTATTAATCTTGCTCTCTCCCCTCTGTTGTGTTGAGGTGGTGCTGATTAATCTGCCAGAGTTGTGTTGTATTTATTTATTTATTTATCTATCTATTTTATCAGTTTCTCTCAAAAGTCCTTAAGCCACAAAGAAAAGGGTTTGAGCAATGGAGTATTGGATCACAGGGATTCCGCCACCCCCCCACCCCACCCCACCCACCCCCGCCCACGGCCCCAACTAATTCCAGAAAACAGGCCTGGTGAGGGCACCAGAGTAGTACAGTGGTACAAAATGGAGGGTGGATATTTTTACTTCATTTTAATCAGCTTTAGAGATTGCTTACACCTAATTTCCTGCTCCAAATCAGTAAACATAAATCTTTCTTCCACCGTTGATGAAAACCTTAGAAGTTTTAATTTGAGATTATCTGCGATAAGACAGTAGGATTTCTAAATGGCTAAGGTGATAAGTCTCTTGCTATTTGATCCTGCTCCTTGTACTATATGTTTTCTCAGAGAAATTGGGGATAGTTAAAAGTATAAAACAAAAGGAAGTAATACATCATGGAAAATTAAAGTAGGGGAAAGCACTGAATCATTTCAGAAATAACTACATTCTCAAAAGGGCGTTCCTCCTTTAAGCCTACTCACTTTGTAACTTTGCTCCTAACTGAAAACTCTGAGGAAAATGACTCCAATTTCAATTCTTAAGATGCAATCTTACTGACTACTGTGATAATCTGTAAGGATTTGATTCTGTTTCTGAAAGGCATAGGGTTTGGCCTTTAGTGTTTTAGTCTTGCCTTGCATCTGCAATGTGTAATACCGATCAGTGGGCCTCAGGCACAGTTAGTTCTTCAGCTACCTTGAGACCATAAAATAATCACATTTATGATCCTACACCTTGTCCCCTCATTCCTTCCAAAAATTATTGCTGATTTGTGCTGCCATTTACTCATTTCTTTAATAAAGACATTCGATCCCAGGACTGGATTCTAGTTTTCTCTCTCTTCAAAGAAAAGCAGTATAGATCCCCGAAATTAGCCTTTCTTTCCCCTTCTGCTAGGAAGAAAGGGGGCAACCAACCACTTTTCTACTTGCACGCTGGCTATGAACATACTGAGGTGGTAAGTCTAGTTGCCTAACCAATTCACCCAAATGTGTTATTTGTCTCATCTCATTAACAAATAACAAAAAAACCCTACTATTTGAGCTTTTACAGAGGATGTAAACAGGAATGAAACAAGATTTTGACTCTCAAAAAGGGAAGCTGTAAATATCAAAATGGATCTTAGATGGGGAGTATACCGTAAATACTTTAAAGATGACACTAGCAAGTTAAAAAAACACGAAAATCTTAGGCTTTGAAAGGCCCACCATAAAAGACAAAAGACAAAATTTAATAGAGAGTGGAGCCGTGACGTGTCCTTTCCTATGTTCACTTATTTTTGAAGGGCTTCTTTCCCGACTTCTCGCAGCCCTTAGGTAGTGGCCATGGGTGGGGTGAAGATGAGAATCGTTTGGTATGTAAAATCTGTAAGTGGACCTGCAAACTCAAACGGTATCCTCTTCCAAGCCTCTAAAAAGAAATGAACCCATTATCTGGTCCACTGCTCTGAGGAGACAGCTTAGTTCCGGGCTCCCTATATTCATGCTGTAAATTGTTCAATTCGCGCGCAAAGCCGGGGACGTCCCAGCTGCTTCACCTGAGGCTGAAACAGGGAAACAAAGTTTTCCCGTCAACCTTAGGATCCCCCAGTCAGGGTACCAAAAAGGAACAGGGCCCACACTGGCTCCGACGCGTCCTCTACACGTCCCCGGGCTCTTGGCGCCAAAAGAAACCATCAGGTCCGTCCTCCACCGGAACTATACGACACGTAAGACACGTAATCAACAATCCTCCGCCTCGTTAAATAGTCCCGCCTGTGTTACCTCGGATACACACTTTTCCACCTCAAAAATCCTTCGATGGATAGACTATGATCCTCGAGGTGCATTACCCTTCGGTTCGAATGTAAATTTGGCTTTTCTGATCATTTTCTCTTCATAGATCCCTCCGCCAAAGATTGTATTCGCTTAGTCTTCACTTCCGGGTCCGCCATTTTGTTGCCTCCATTTCTCCACGAGGGGGGGTTAAAGGCCCCCAAAATATGCATATATGAAAAGGCCAAAAAGTAACCGTCAGTGACAGGGAGTGTTAACTAGAGAAAGAAACGGGACCAAACTGGCGGGCTCGGTGAAATCGCGGCCGGCAGCGTTCCGGACGAGGAGGTGAGGGGGAAGAAGACGTGTGGACTCTGGGGGGGCGTCGGGGCTGGAATGGAGACTGCTGTGAGAAGTTGCAACGCGTCCCAGCCCAGCCCCGGACTTCTGGGTGCAGACAGAGCGGCGCCCCGCGGGGGCAGCTCGGGGAGGGGGGATGAAGAGGAAGGGGATGCTGCTGGGAGGAAGGGGAGGGGACTGGGAGGTGAAGAAGGGGGTGGGTGTAAGACCTGGGGCTGGGGAGCTGGACCCAGGGAAGCGAAGGCCATGGAGGTGACCGCCAGGGGGCAGCCCGGAGTTTGGGCTGGGGGCTGTGGCCTTGGCTCTTTGCCCCCATTGACTCTTCTTCCAGAAAGACAACGTTGCTGTTTGGAACTGGAGGATTTGTGATGAAGGAGGAAACGGGGACTCTCAATTCTCTGACCTCGGTAATAGTCTAAAGATTTTGAGTGAGCTCAGTAATCGAAGCAAGAGTAGTACGGGCTCCGCCCCCAGTTGTTGCACAGTTGTTTGTACAGCTGGCGGCCGGTGGAGACATCTGCAATAGAAAAAGTAGGGGGAAAGTCGTCAGAACATGGACTCTTCAATTCCATTTCTCCTTCTCGTTAGGTTTCTCCTGTCCTCACAGATTTCCTCGAGCCAGCAGAGATTATCCCATTCTTTTCTCTCTTCCCAAAAGTACTTCTTTCTCTTAAACATCTGTAGAAAAAGACATTCTGTGGCTTACCCCCAGCAATTTTAACATTTTTGGCTGTCGGGACCACATCTTCATCGTGCCATTTGACCCACCCAGTCCAATTGAGATGCTCTTAAGCATCTATTTTCACACAGGCTTTGAAACAGTGAAACAGAACTGCCCCACCCAAATTCTTACATCAACAAATGTAATTACTCTGTGATAATAGAGTACTTTGTTGTCGAGAGCTCAAGCACTTCGTTAGTTATTAAAACACAGTTATTCAGAGTTCTTGTATGTTTGTTTGGGAAGGGGAGTGGGTGCTTTGTTACTTTATTAATCTCCAAAATCCTAAGAGACAAGTTGAATCAGATGTTGTCTTTTCACTTCATGTATAGGGAAAGTAGAGGTACATCCAGTAAGGGAGAATGTTTTCCCCCTGTTTTTAATAATCAGGAAGCTTTAAGGTGCCTAGACTGTCTTCTTGACTTACTGGCTTCATCTCTTTTCTGGTGGGTATTGTCAGTGTTTAGGTAGGCTATGGGAGAATGGCACATAATATCCCCTACCCCAAATGCTGTTATTTTAAAAATACATTTTGCTTTTACTTTGGAGAGATGCTTCAGGTTAACTCAAAAGACTCAGGGTAGAGGAGAAAAGATCCTTGAACACAATCCTAGGAGACCTCTTTTATATCAGGTGATAAATACAACACCCTGCTTATTTTCTAATCCCAAAGTTTAACTGTATCTTTGTATAGTAAGAAGTAAGACTTTTCATGGCCTATTTAAAGAATGGGATTACAAATCTGGGTTAGCTGCCATTTAGTGATACTGATACATGGGCTCACAAATATGGTTAAAGAAAGGTGGGGGCACCTGGATGGTTCAGTGGGTTGAGCGTCAGACCCTTGATTTTGTCCCGAGTCATGATCTTGGGGTCATGGGATCAAGCCCAGCGTCAGGCTCCACACTCAGTGCGGAGTCTACCTATCCCTCTTCCTCTGCCCCACCCCACACTTGCTGTCTCTCTCTCTCTCTCAAATAAATAAATAGAATCTTAAAAAAAAAAAAAAAAAGATAAGTGGGGTTCCTGGGTGGCTCAGTTGGTTAAACATCTGTCTCTTGATTTTGGCTTAAGTCATGATCTCCGGGTTGTGCAATTGACCCAGCCTCAATCTCTGCACTGAGCACCAAAGCCTGATTAAGATTCTTTCACTCTCTCTCTGCACCTCCCTCCCCTGCTCATGCACTCAAGCTCTCTCTTAAATAAATAAATAAATAAATAGTGATACAACTAACGTATGTTTGAAGGCAGACTATGGTGAGAAAAATCGACCTCAGAAATACTTGGCAAGGGGTACCTGGGTGACTCAGTCATAAGTGTATACCTTTGGCTCAAATCATGATCCCAGAGTTCTGGGATTGAGGACCGCATTGGGCTCCCTGCTTGGCGGGAAGCCTGCTTCCCCCACTCCCCCTTCTTGTGTTCCCTCTCTCACTGTGTCTCTCTCTGTCAAATAAATAAATAAAATATTATTTTTTTTTCTTAAAGAAGTACCTGGCAAGAGTTCAGGTGCTGAAGACAACAGTTGCAATGGGATAAAATAAACTTATTTAAAGGATCTGTTTTGGGTGCCTGGGTGGCTCAGTGGGTTAAAGCCTCTGTCTTGGGCTCAGGTCATGATCCCAGGGTCCTGGGATCGAGCCCCACATTGGGCTCTCTGCTCCTCGGGGGGCCTGCTTCCTCCTCTCTCTCTGCCTACTTGTGATCTCTGTCTGTCAAATAAATAAATAAAATCTTTAAAATAATAAATAATGGGGCGCCTGGGTGGCTCAGTGGGTTAAAGCCTCTGCCTTCAGCTCGGGTCATGATCCCAGGGTCCTGGGATCAAGCCCCGCATCAGGCTCCCTGCTCAGCGGGGAACCTGCTTCCACCTCTTTCTCTCTGCCTGCCTCTCTGCCTACATGTGATCTCTGTCTGTCAAATAAATAAATAAAATCTTTAAAAATAAATAAATAAATAAATAAATAAAAATAAAATAAATAAATAAGTAAATAAATAAAGTCCAAAAAAGTTTAAAAAAAATAAATAAAGGATCTGTTTTCTGGATGTATCATCTTCCCCAGAATGTGAAGCAAACCAGATTTCTCCTTAAGCAGATACCTCAACCTTCAACTGACTATTTTTTTACGGTAGAGGATAGCTGAAATTTCACTATTAGGATACTTCTGCTTTTTGCCAGCATTTCTGAACATCCCTTTGTAGGGAATTCTTCCCCTTTATGATCAGTTACGTTGAAAGTGTTTGAGACTTGGTGATACAACTTTTTATATATAGTGTAATTTGAGAAAATGTGAGGGAGTCATTTATGACTAATAAACCACCAAAAAATTTGCTCTTTTTTTTTTTTAAGATTTTATTTACTTATTTGAGAGACAATGAGAGAGAGCATGAGATGGGAGAAGGTCAGAGGGAGAAGCAGGATCCCCATGGCTGGGAACCTGATGTGGGACTCAATCCCGGGACTCCAGGATCATGACCTGAGCCGAAGGCAGTCACTCATCCAACTGAGCGATCCAGGCACCCTTTGCTCTTGTTTTTAACTGTTAGTAATAAAAAAAAACCTAGATTGAAAATTTAATTTGATACTGTAAAAGGAAGGCAATCATGGAGAAATGCAAAGTGTCGGTTTTCTGTAATACGGCTTTGCTATCATTTTTTTCTCCAACATTTTCTTGAGTTGTAAAGCCTGACATAGAGGTTCATACTATTAAAGTCCATCCTCTTCTCTTGAACATACTTATTCAAAGGGTCTGGACTGGAGCCTGGTGTATACTCATTTTGAACAAGCTCCTGGTGGTCTCCCAGACACCCATGTTTGAGAACAATGCTCAATGATATAGACTGGAAAATTAAATTCTATAGTAGCTGAATGATTTGCCTAAGCCAGTGATTCTCAAATTTTCTGGTTTCAGTATGTGTGTGTGTATCTATCTATATACACACATTTATATGTATATGTGTATATATATATATTTATTATTTTAAGATTTTTATTTATTTTTTGACGAGAGAGACAGCAAGAGAGGGAACACAAGCAGGGAGAGTGGGAGAGGGAGAAACAGGCTTTCCACTGAGCTGGGAGCCCAGTGGGGGGCTGGATCTCAGGACCCTGGGATCCTGACCTGAGCTAAAGGCAGGCACCTAACAACTGAGCCACCCAGGTGCCCCAGGACTCATTTATATTTCTAAAAATTATTGAGGATTCCAATGTGTTCTATCTGTTGGGATTTACTGTTTTAGAAATTAATTTTTAAATGCTTATTAGTTAAAATACAATTGTAAACCTGTACATGTTAACATAAATAACACATTTTTTTTAAGATTTTATTTATTTATTTGACAGGGAGATCACAATTAGGCAGAGAGGCAGGCAGAGAGGAAGGGGGGCGGGAAGCAGGCTCCCTGCTGACCAGAGAGCCCAATGCGGGGCTCGATCCCAGGACCCTGAGACCATGACCTGAGCTGAAGGCAGAGGCTCAACCCACTGAGCCACCCAGGTGCCCCTAAATAACACATTTTTAAAAATTTATTTGTCAAAACGAGAGGGAGACAGAGCACAAGCAGAGAGAGTGGCTGGCAGAGGAAGAAGCAGGGTCCCCACTGAACAAGGAGCCCAATGTGGGACTCTATCCCAGTACCCTGGGATCATGACCTGAGCCAAAAGTAGTCACTTAACCTACTAAGCCACCCAGGCATCCCTAAATAACACATTTTTATGAAAAATATATCTTCCAAGTTAAATAATAAGAGGAATAGCATTGTTCATTATTTTTGCAAATCTCTAACTTCTAGCTTAATAGAAAACAGCTGCATTCTCATATTTACTATTTCATTTAATCTGTTGCAATATGTACTTGGAGAAAAGAGAAGTTAAATGGCTTTTTCAGGTAATTATGGGTGTTCTTTGGTGCTACACAAACACTGGACAAAGTGGCAGTTTACTTATTTATTTATTTATTTGACAGAGAGAGAGAGACACACAGTGAGAGAGGGAATACAAGCAGGGGGAGTGGGAGAAGGAGAAGCAGGCTTCCCATGGAGCAAGGAGCCCGGTGCGGGGCTTGATCCCAGAACCCTGGGATCACTACCTAAGCTGAAGGCAGACACTTAACGACTGAGCCACCCAGGTGCCCCAAAGTGGCAGTTTCTTTCTTTCTTTCTCTCCCTCTCTCTTTCTTTCTTTCTTTCTTTCTTTTTTAAGATTTTATTTATTTATTTGACAGAGATCACAAGTAGGCAGAGAGACAGGCAGAGAGAGAGGGGAAAGCAGGCTCCTTGCTGAGCAGAGAGCCTGCGGGGCTTGACCCAGGACCCTGAGATCATGACCTGAGCTGAAGGCAGAGGCTTAACTCACTGAGCCACCCAGGCGCCCCAAAAGTGGCAGTTTCTTAAAAGTTAGTTGCAGTGAGGAATCTGAAACCATATCAATGAAATTATTATACTCTGTTACCTTAAAACACCCTGATCTTTCACTTTGTTTGTACTTACACATGATTTTATAACATGCATTGGTCATTTGAAAAATATTGATTCAGCAAATTATGCAGGCGATCCAAATGTTGATGCATTTTATTATACAATATTTAAAAATTACATTCATTAGTATTACCACTAATTTCATCAGAAAAGTCTGTAGTAAGCTGTCAACTCATAGTGGTAGATTTAAGTTTCCCAAAATTCTACTTTTGTTTGAAAACTCAAATTATAAAAATTATAATTAATAATTGTTAGTAAATACTGCCAGTTGTTTTCCTTGAAATGGCAGCTCACTCTGTTCATTTTTTTATAAATGTCTGCCATATCTGAGTATGCATAGCCTCAGTGTTTTTTCATCGTTCTTTCATGTGCCGTAACATTTCTACTCACAGTTGTTTCAAAGGGATGAAATGCTGTTTTATTGCTTCCTTAAGCTAAAGAGGTGGTAATGTTTTGCACAGATTTCCAAAGAATTTTTCTGAATATTGAACACTAAAGACCTATTTAGGGCCTGAAACTTTGCCAAGTATCTGATTGTGTTAGGTGAGGTAGAAAGGAAATGCCGTACTGGATAGTCAGCTTGAGAAGTGTCTTGCATATGTTTAAGTACAAGAGGTCTTCTAAAAACATTTACAGGCAGCTCTCCTTATGTTTGAGTTATAGCTTCCCGAAAACATTTGTTCCTATGCATAAAGATGTCTTTGGTGGATTTGGGGAAGAGGTTGCTAGAAGCAGCAAGAAAAGGCCAAGATGATGAAGTGAGAACATTGATGGCAAATGGCGCCCCATTCACCACAGACTGGGTAAGTTCTTTTAACTATTCCCAATGTGCACTGTTACCAATTTCTTCCTTTTTTTCTTTCCCAAAGATTTTATTTTTAAGTAATCTCTACACCCAGTGTGGGGCTTGAACTTAAAACCCCGAGATCAAGAGTTGCACACTCTACTGACTAAACCAGCCAGGCATTCCTCCAACCTTTTCTTTAAAGGCTAAACAGACTTAGACTTTATTGATTTTTCTTCATTCCCTTTCTGCCTCACTCTCCCCGTAGAGTTTTATTTTCTTTGTTTCATCTAAATATATAGTCTTCTTCTAGTTTCCTAAATTGCAGGCGTCTCCTGTGGATATATAGGTGGTAATTGTAAGGTATTACAAACTTGTGATTTTCTATAATGCTTTTTAGAGTATTTCCTGAAGGTTTAATTCTCCCTGGAGTGTACTTAGTTTTTATGTTTCTGTAATTAGCGAGAAATTAAACAAAGTCAGTATAATAAGAGTGCATTTCTAAACTAAATGAATTACGTGTTTCATTTTCTCTAAAGTGTCCTGGTTAATCAGAAATAGTCTAGGCATTTTGTTTCCTTTTTGCCACTGCTAAAAGAACATTAAGAGGAAGGTATAATTTCACGAGCCCAGGCAGCCATCTTGAAGAGGTAGATTTTAAAAGGGTTGCCTAATTTAATTATTTTTATTTTTTTAAGTAATCTCTGCACCACAGACTGGGTAAGCTCTTTTAATTATTCCTAATGTGTGCCTTACCAGTTTCTTCCTTTTTTTTTTTTTTCAAAGATTTTATTTTTAAATTTTATTATTATTATTTTTAAAGATATTATTTATTTATTTGACAGAGAGAGAGAGATCACAAGCAGGCAGAGAGGCAGGCAGAGAGGGGGTAGGGGAAGCAGGCTCCCCGCTGAGCAGAGAGCCCGATGTGGGGCTCTGGGACTCGATCCCAGGACCCTGAGATCATGACCTGGGCTGAAGGCAGAGGCTTAACCCACTGAGCCACCCAGGTGCCCCTCAAAGATTTTATTTTTAAGTAATCTCTACACCCATTGTGGAGCTCAGATTCACAACCCTGAGATCAAGAGTCATGTGCTCTACTGACTGAGCCAGTCAGTTAGCATTGCCTAATTTTAACAATTCAATGAACTGGTGTCCTCTATCCCGGGGTGATTAATTCATAACTTTAGAGGCCAGCAGGTACTTAGCACTTCACAAAAAGGAAGAAAAGGAAACCTATGAGATTAGCATTTCTATTAATAGACCTGAAAAGTGCAATGTGAATTAAAGTCAGTCAGACAGAGAGGCTGAACATATATGGAATGCAAAAAATAAACAGCATAGGCTTAAAATAAAGGACCTAACACAAAGAAAGGAATAGATCTCTGGGCAAAGTGGCCAAAGAGAGAATTCTTACAGATTTACTTTGAGACAATCCAGGTTTCTTATTGCTATTGACATGCCATTGCTAAAATTTTATTGCCTCTTCATCTCATCAGTCTTTTTGCTTTGCTTTACCGTGTCAACAGACTTCTGTTCAGCCAGTTAAATTTGCACAGCAAATCTCAGTGACTTTCTAGTCTCTGCCCTTTTCCTAAGAATTGTTTTGAACCCACCTACCCCTTTCCACTACTCAATGCAGAATGTTCTGGTTTATCCATTTTTTTTAACCTTCTTCTAAGCTTTGCTTAACATCATGTCCTTTAGAGAATCTTTCCTGATATATATGGAATCTTTCCATCTGACTTAAATCCATTATACTTAGCGCTTATGTAATTGGTGGTATATTTATTTGACTTAATTAATATTCTTTACACCTGTTGCACAACCAGATTGTCACTCCCAAGGACAAGAACCATAGACTGTACCTCTTGTTCATTTGTGTCCCTCCGACAATGATTTAGGACTCTGCACACAGTTGATATTCAATGAGTATTATTTTCCCACAGCTTGGAACATCACCCCTCCACCTTGCAGCCCAGTATGGTCATTATTCCACAGCAGAAGTGCTCCTTCGAGCAGGCGTTAGCAGGGATGCCCGGACCAAAGTGGACAGGACCCCTTTGCACATGGCTGCAGCTGATGGACATGCACACATCGTGGAACTGCTTGTTAGGGTAATAGTGGCAGATCTGTATCGTAAAAAAGACACTCACCTCCCTGTTTTCTTACTTAAACGGATGGTAGGAAACTAGTCTGGGAAAGATTAAGTTTAGGACAGTTCATAGCATAGATTTGTGTCTCTTTCAAGAGACATCATGGCTATAAGGATTCTGTTTTCTAATCTTTTACAGGCTAAGCAGACTTTATTGATTTTTCTTCATTCTCTTTCTGCAGGTGTTTTCTGTACTTAAGCCTATTTTTGTAGGCTCTCAGCTCTCTGTTAATAAATGCAGCAAAAATCTGTTCTTTTCCCCTTCCTTTCCCATCTGTTGTAATTTCCCAGTTGTCCTTAAAAGACCCACTCATTGAAGATATTATGTCTGTCATCATTCAGGAGAATTTGAAGAATGTTTTTTCATTTGATATTTCTATGTGATCTAAATTTGAATATGTGTAATCTCCATTGAAATTCTTTTTATTTGGCTGATGGGATCTTGCACCTGTGCTACTATAACCAGTGTCTCTTTGAAAAAAATTACGTCTCTGTGACAGAATGGTGCAGATGTGAATGCCAAGGACATGCTGAAGATGACAGCTTTACATTGGGCTACAGAACACCACCATCGAGATGTTGTAGAGCTACTTATCAAATATGGAGCTGATGTCCATGCTTTCAGCAAGTTTGATAAATCTGCCTTTGACATAGCCCTGGAGAAAAAGAATGCTGAAATTCTGGTCATCCTTCAGGTCTGTTTCTTTTTATACCCCCAGAATACATTTCAATTGAAGTTGAGAAAATTTTTTTTATAGGATTTGAATCAAAATTGAATTTGCTCTGTTTATCAAGGTAGTACTTCTAAACTTCTGATATGTCTCAATCTTGTGACTCAGTGTCATTGGTATCTTTAAAAAAAAATAGCATTCTAGGGTGCCTGGGTGGCTCAATCAGGTAAGCATTTGCCTTGGGCTCAAGTCATGATCCCAGGGTGCTGGGATCGAGTCCCACATCGGGCTCCTTGCTCAGCTGGGAGCCTGCTGCTCCCTCTGCCTGCCACTCCCCCTCTTTGTACTCTCTCTCTGTCAAATAAATAAATTATTTTTTTAAAAAAAGCATTCTAGGGGTGCCTGGCTGGCTCAGATGATTGGCATTTGCCTTGGGCTCAGGTCATGATCCCAGGGTCTTCGGAGAGCCTGCTTTCTCCCTCTCCTTCTGCTGTTCCCCTTGCTTGTGCACTCTCTCTCTGTGTCGAATAAATAAATAAAATATTAAAAAAAAAAAAACAGTAACCAGTAAATGGATAATCTGTTTCAACTGAGGCTCTTAATCAAAGGGATAATTATATGTAAAAAATGGGTATCCAAGGGCACCTGGGTGGCTCAGTGGGTTAAGCCTCTGCCTTCGGCTCAGGTCATGATCTCAGGATCCTGGGATGGAGTCCCGCATTGGGCTCCCTGCTGAGCAGGGAGCCTGCTTCCCCCTCTCCCTCTGCTGCTCCCCCCACTTGTGCTCTCTCTCCTTCTCTCGCTCTCTGTCAAATAAATAATTTTTAAAAAATGGGTATCCATTTCTGCTGCATTTTCAGGAGTTTGTTTATTCCTTTTTTCTGACTGATGGTTCTCTATAGACCGGTTGTCCTCTTTAGCTTTCAGTTCCTTATTTAAAGCTCTTTTGTAGTTGGACTTCATAAGTAGATATCATGTTTGTAGAAAACTGCTTCTGAAAGTCAGAAAATAAAATAAAGATAAGTATCTTTACACCGAAATTGTACAGAGAGCCCTGGAAGCAAAATGCAGCATATGGAACTAGACTTTAAAATCTGGCACTCATTTATTTGCTTGTTATATATTCTCTTAGGAATTTCTTCAGTGCAAAATGGAACAAGTAGTTGGACAAAACTCTGGAGAATATTGTTCTTTGCAAATTTGCTGCAGGGATCTCCGGCTAGCACATTGACCTGTATATAATTGATAGAATGTTCATGCTGAAAATTACTTCTTAGGCTCCCCCTCTCATTTTCCAAATAAGACAAAAACAAGTTCCCGACAGGTTAAGTGAATTGTCTAGAAGTTTTTGCAAATGATACACTTTTTGGGAAATGATAATACTTTTTTTCTTTAAATTAGAAATAAACTTGGGAAAGCAACCCAACATCTCTGTTGCCCTGATCTGGAAAACAAATAAACAATCAAACAAAACAAAAAAGAAAACCAGTAGTCTTTTTTTTTTTTTAAAGATTTTTAATTTATTTATTTGACAGAGAGATCACAAGTAGGCAGAGAGGCAGGCAGAGAGAGGGGAAAACAGGCTTCCTGCTGAGCAGAGAGCCCAATGTTGGGTTAGATCCCAGGACCCTGAGACCATGACCTGAGCCAAAGGCAGAGGCTTAACCCACTGAGCCACCCAGGCACCCCAGAAAAACAGTAGTCTTAATGAGAACTCTGAGCTCCCTGGGACATTGTGTTCCACCACTAGTTTTGCTCAACAGAGCATTGGGGTGGGAGTGGCTGTTCAGTAACTGTATAACTAAGGCTAACAAGTTCTGACTTTGAAAAATCCTGCCTTGTTTGGTAGGAAGCGATGCAGAATCAGGTGAATGCTAATCCTGAGAGAGCCAACCCTGTGACTGTGGCTGCCCCATTCATCTTCACATCTGGAGAAGTTGTCAGCCTCGCTAGCCTTGTTTCTTCAACCAACACCAAAACAACCTCAGGTAATAATCTGATAACGTGGCATTTATTTTAGACTTAAAATGAGCAGAACCCCAGTTTTTCCTATGAGATGAATTGATACTCTATCTGATACCTACTTGTTTATTAAAATATTCCCCAAATAGAAGATTTATAATAGATTTTAAAGCCAATGCATTTATTCTTCCTAGGGGAAGAGGAGATCATACACAGGGATTACACATCAGTGCTTACTGTATTAAAAGTAAAATATTCTACAGATTGATCTGTGGAAGGGTTATGTATGACTGCAAAATGAAAACATAAGGGTGCTTCAGTATGGTTACCACTAAGGAAAATAGTTAAATACTCATAGTCTAAAACAGTGACAAATAAACCAGAATAAGTGTAAATGGATATTGGAGTGCCGATATAAAAGAGGTACATGTGATCATTTGAATAAAGTATAAGAGCTTTGAGTTATTCTTGGAAACATAAGTGAACAACAAAATGGCAGAGAAAAGCTCATTTTGAGATCTGTATGTTTTTAACAAAAACATCTATCTAAAAAGGAGCAAACTGAGCTATTTTCAACATTTCTTTACAAATATTTGTTTTAGGGGCACCTGGGTGGTTCAGTGGGTTAAGTCTCTGGCTCAGGTCATGATCTCAAGGTCCTGGGTTTGAGCCTTATGGCGGGCTCCCTGCTCAGCGGGGTGCCTGCTTTCCCCTCTCTCTCTGCCTGCCTCTCTGCCTAATTGTGATTTCTCTCCCTGTCAAATAAATAAAATATTTTAAAAAAACACAAATATTTCTTTTACAATGAGGGAGTTTGTGTCCTAATTTACATCAATTTTCTTACTGACTAGGTTTCTTTTTCTGTTTCTGACTTTCACTTAAAAATAAGACACTGTATTCTAGTTAAGTTTGTATAATATCGGGATGCCTGGGTGGCTCAGTTGGTTAAGCATCGGCCTTCAGCTCAGGTCATGATCCTGGGGTTCTGGGATCAAGTCCCGCATCAGGCTTTGCTCAGCGGGGAGCCTGCTTCTCCCTCTCCCTCTGCCCCTACTCATGTGTGTGCTCGCACTCTCTCTCTCTCTCTGTCAAATAAATAAATAAAATCTTAAAAAAAAAGGTTTGTATAATATCAAAGAAAGATCTTGAATGAGGTGTTATAATTGAGGGGCAGTGTGGTTAAATAGAAAGAACATACACAATATACATAGAATTTTACATTCAGTACTGCATTCAAATACTGATTTATTAATTGACTACATGCTTGACCTTGGAAAACTCTTACTTCTCTAAGCCTTCTTTACTTATCTACAAAATTGGGATATAATAATACCTACTTTATGATGTTATGAAACTTTGTATTTCCATTTTATAGCAGGACTTCAATAATAGCTAGGGTTAAATGTAAATAGAACTCCTCAATGAAAGTTCATTCTGTTATGCCCTCAAGGGGGCAGTAGTGGCCTTCATTTTTATAAGCCATCAACTATCATTTAAAAATCACTGTGCTTTGCTTTCAGCTTGATAATTCAAAAAATTTAGGTTAAATATACATATACATGTAATAAGAACATTCACAGACTTTTGGATTTCTTGTAGTACATGCCACAGTGATTAGAACAAGTACCTTTAGGATCCAAAATTCTTTAGAAGCCAGTAAAGTTATATGTTCATAAACATGTAAAAGGAGCTAGAGTTGGTCATCTAACTATTGAAATTCTTCAGACCCAGATCTGAAATGATTAGCAAAGCTGAAGATATTTAGGATATAGCTTTGTAGCCTTGGTTCCCATGGACCTATATCATGTTTGTCATGTTCCTTTTGGCAAACCTATTGTTTCTCTCTTCTGTATGTTGCCACTATGAATTAAGATTGCTAAACCATCACATAATAGAGCTGATCTCTCCAGTGTTGTCTTACCCATGAAACCATTCTACCTGCCTCTCCCACTTCAGGGGAGATAATTAATGCAGATAAAAGAAAGGAGAAAAGTTATAAGACAAATTCAGGTTTTATTATTCAACTAGGTTAAAGGATTTTCTTTTCCTGAATGGTGGGTGGGTGGGTGGCTTGCTTTTTTCCCTGTTACCCATTTTTTTTTTTTTTTTTGAGAGAGAGAGAAAGAGAGAATGTGTGCAGTTGTGTGTGCAAGGGGAGGAGAAGAGGGTCAGAGGGAGAGAGAAAATCCCAAGCAGGGTCCATGCCAAGTGCAGAGCCAGACATGGGGCTTGATCTCACCATCCTGAGATCATGACCCAAGCTGAAATCAAGAGTTGGATGCCCAACCAACCGAGCCACCCTTCTTTTTTCCCCCCATCATCCAGTAATATTTTTTGTAATTTTTAAAAAAGATTTTATTTATTGACGGAGAGAGCCAGAGAACACAAGGAGGGGGAATGGCAGAAGGTGAGGGAGAGGCAGGCTCCCTGCCAAGCAGGGAGCCCAATGAGGAGCTCAATCCTAGGCCCCTGGAATCATGACCTGAGCTGAAGGCAGACACTCAACCGACTAAGTCACCCAGGTCCCTCCATCCAGGAATAGTTTTAAGTATCCTAGGATAATCATTTTGATGGATTTTTTTTTAGATTTTATTTATTTATTTGACAGACAGAGATCACAAGTAGGCAGAGTACCTGGAAGAGTGAGAGGGGCAAGCAGGCTCCCTGCCAAGCAGAGAGCCCTATTCGGGGCTCAATCCCAAGACCCTGGGATCATGACCTGAGCCGAAGGCAGAGGCTTTAACCCACTGAGCCACTCAGGCACCCCTGATGGATATTTTTGATAACAAAATACGTATTATAAAGTTTGCTTTCGGGGCGCCCGGGTGGCTCAGTGGGTTAAAGCCTCTGCCTTCAGCTCGGGTCGTGATCTCAGGGTCCTGGGATCAAGTCCCATGTTGGGCTCTCTGCTCAGCGGGGAGCCTGCTTCCTCCTCTCTCTCTGCCTGCCTCTGTGCCTGCTTGTGATCTCTGTCTGTCAAATAAATAAATAAAAATATTTTAAAAAAAAAAGTTTGCTTTCAGTTTTCCATTTGTGACTAAAGATACCACTGGTCATCAGTGCTACCATCACAATGCAGCAGTTAAGAAAGGCAGACTAAATTAAACATTAATCAGGGCAAAAAAAGAGTTACAAAGATGAATTTCCTATTTCTGTAGGTTCATAAGATGCACTCCAAAGTCAAATATAAATAGCTTTGTATTGGTTCATAAAGAGTACAGGCTTTGAGGAATCTAATGAATTGCATTCTAGTCTGGCCTCTGACATTTACTATCTATGTGACCTGTGCAAGTTACTTAGTTTTTCACCAACTCACTGAGATTGCCTATCCTACCATAGCACACTCCCCTAAATCCTGATATGATGAGTTTCTCTAAGCCACATTCTGAATAGATACATTATATATATATGCCTATATATATATGTATATAATAAAGTATATACTCTATTATATATATTATATGTAGAAATAATAGAGTCATCCCTGATAGTGCCATTTTAAAACAATACCAACCATGTGCATTTTACTTTATTTGGTGCTAGGTCTTATACTGAGAAGAAGGAAAGAATTAATATTGTTTAGCAATAAAGTACCTAATTTTCCTAAAATTCATAAGGATAAGTCTAAGGAGGTAATTTGGATCATTGCTTTTCAGTTTCAGCTGTGTATATCAGAGTATTAAACCCAATTTTCCACAAATGTTCTTTCTTCCTTTTGCTGTTAAGGGGAAGTTGAGTGAGTCATGTCTGAATCAAAGGGAAAAAAGCCTTAGCTTGGTATCATTATGTGCTAAAGAGTATACAATGCCTTCTCAAGAAGCATTACCCAGCTATTCTACTTTAGTGGAGTGACCTACCTGATACTTGGCCTACTTGAACTTTAATTACAACAGCCCTGGTGTGTGCGAGTGTTTTGACTATGGTAAAAGAATAACAACCTTGTTTTTAGATTGCTAGTGACTTACTGTCAGATATATTCCAACCTCCTCAAGGGCTATATATACAAATAAATTTAAAAATTGCTTGTTCCTTGTTTGTTTCATTTGTGAGTTCTTATGCAAGTGTTTGGTGTAATAAGCTGTGTGGTGGGAAAAGCATGAATTTAGTGGGAACATTAGGGAATAGGCTATAGCTGGATCTTGCTCTGTGTGAAGTTGTTTACCTAGGTTCCTTTCTGGAGGACAGGCACTGTGTTCCACTCAGACTGTTTGGTTTCCTGAATATTATGTAAGAGAATGAAAGAATAAAACAGAGTTATCATCACTGTCTCCATGGTAATCCCCCACTGCCACCATCATCATCCGGAAGCTAGATTAAGATCATTTGTAGCTGGGGCACCTGGCTGGCTGAGATGGTAGGGCACGTGACTCTTGATCTCAGAGTTGTGAGTTCATGCCCCATACTGGGTGTAGAGATTACTAAAAAAAGAATAATAAACTTAAGAGAAGATAGTTCGTAGCTATTAGGAATACTATATAAGTAATCTGCTTTTTGAAATTTAAATTTATAAAGCAGTTAAATTACCTACATTAATCATATCAGAAAAGGATTCTTTGCTCTGTGGATGGATTTATTATAAAGAGTATTAAAAAGGAATTTCCTTAAGTATTTTAAAGTGTTTTATAGATAGCTGGCTTTTTGATAGACGAAAGGCTGGAAAGAATCTTGAAGCATAGTTAGTGGGAAAACAAAAATTGAGAGTACATTGGGGCACCTAGCTGACTTAGTCAGTAGAACATGTGACTCTTGATCCTGGGATTATAAATTCGAGTCCCACATTGGGTGCAGAGATTAAAATATAATCTTGAAAACATATCTTAAATATAAAAACCTTAAAAATAAAATCTTTTTAAAAATTAAGGGGCACCTGGGTGGCTCAGTCGGTTAAGCATCCAGCTCCTGCTTTTGGCTCAATCTCATGGATTATGGGATCGAACCCCACATCAGGCTTGTGCTCAGTGTGGAATCTGCTTGAGACTGTCTTTCTCCCTCTGCCCTTAATGTGGGTGTTCATGCTTTCTCTCTCTCAAATGAATAAGTAAATCTTTGAAAAAATTAAGAGGGACTCCTGGCTGGCTTGGTCAGTGGAGTGTGCGACTCTCAATATTCAGGTTGTAAGTTTGAGCCCCACATTGGGTGTAGAGCTTACTTTAAAAAAAAATAGAATCTTGGGCACCTGGGTGGTTCAGTGGGTTAAGCCTCTGCCTTCAGCTCTGGTCATGATCTCAGGGTCCTGGGATCGAGTCCCGCATCGGGCTCTCTGCTCAGCGGAGAGCCTGCTTCCCCCTCTCTCTCTGCCTACTTGTGATTTCTTTCTCTGTGTATCAAATAAATAAATAAAATCTTTTTTAAAAAATAGAATCTTCAAAAAAAATTAAGAATACACTTAAGAAGGTAAGTGTATTAGTCAGAGTCCAGTCAGGCGACAAAACTACATGGTGATTTGTATAATTTTATTGTAATATATAATATGTATGATTTCTAAAATATCTAAACTTACATGTACAATTCATGAAAAATTACCAGTAATAGTGGATTAACTACTGAGAGGTGAGGAGAACCCGAGAGAATACAGGAATAACTAATATAGGAGCAGCAACAAATTTTGTATGACAAAACTTAATTTCATGCTGTCAAGAAATATTGTTAGGGTCCATGTTAGGGTTTCAGTATGACAAGGCAAGGCAAAGAAGGGTGGATTTGGAAAAAATTCACAACTGGCACAAAAGTATCTTTGAAATTATAATGAAAGACAAAGGGAAATACAATTCATTTTATAAAAGTTATATTTATGCAAAACTGTTGAGTAATACTTTTGGTTCATAAAGTTAGGCGTGTGCCTGTTGCCAGATCAAATGCATTTTCCTCCTGGAACTTAGCTGTAAGGATAGCACACGGATATAAGAAGAAAAGAAATTGTAAACAAAGTTTTTTTAAAAAAAGGATTTTTTATTAAAAAATTAAGGTAGGTAATTATTTTTTACCATGAATCAGTTGTACTACCCTTTGACGTTCAATAAATGAAATGTCCAGGTTTTACCGGTCCTTGTGTCAGAGGTCATCTCGAGTCTTCTCACCTCTCTGGCTTATGGATAGATGCAGTATCTGCAGGCCCTCTTCCCTCAGCACCACCTAGTTTAGGGTAAGCCTGCTGCCAGGGAGAGCTCTGTACAGCCAGCCTAGGGAGTAGGCAGCCTTCTGGGTCTGTTGGCTCCGAATGCTCAGCACTGGCAGTGCCGAGAAAATGAACAAATGTGGGCAATGTAGTGACCCTATACTAAGCATATTACCTTAATCCACTTTAAAGGAAAACCTTTCTAAACCTTCCACGAGTGTTAGCACCATGATCATTGGTTAATACCAGTTTGTAATGGAGAGCAAGAGGAAGACATTAGAATGCAAAGCTGAGGTTTTGATTTAATAAAAGCCATTTTTAGTTAATCTCCCATTTATTCTCTCTGCCAGACCTCATTTGCCTTTTTTACCAAAATAGGTGACCCCCATGCCTCCTCAGCACCACACTTGTCACATTCCACCACCTCAGTGCTGGCCACCCTTGCAGCTCTTGCTGAGGCATCAGCCCCCTTGTCCAACTCTCACAGAGCCGCAGGTAGGTAAGGGATATCTGCTGGGTGAATCAGCATTTCTTTTGTTTTTACATTTCCAGCAGATTTAATCTGCATGAAATATTAAAGAACTATGGTTAATTAGAGACATCTAAGAAAGAGGACTGTAGAGTCACTGAACATCAGAAAGAAAAATCACTTAAGCAATATAATCAGATGGCTGAATAATATTAGAGAATGACTCAGTCATTTCTTTGTATTTTTGCAGTTTCAAGTTTGTTTGCTCCAGTTGCTTCAGATTGAACTGTTTAGTCTTCTATTAGCAGATTATTTGGGAAATACTCTATGTTATGTTTTGACTGGTGCTATCACAGAATGATTCAAAATAGCAGCTTAAATATGTTGTATTTAAAGCGTCAAAATACGTAAGACTGCTACGTCTCTCATTGTCATATTCTGTGTACTTTAGGGTGGTTTACTTTTATTTTCACTGGAGATGATATTTTGGCGTTTCCAGTGGAGTTGGGCAGATATAGACTGTATAGTGGCCTTCTGATATACAGAACAAAAAAGGGTCAAGTGACTTAGCTAGAGCTGGTAGCCTGTGGGGAGAAGGCTTAGGGCTTCATATAAGTAGGGGCAAATAGTATTAGATAGAGCTAAATAGTCATCTAGGAAGCTTTCTGGAGCCTTCTGACAATCTGCTCCATCATAAATGAAAGCAGATTGTTCTGATTTCTTTCTGCCATTGACATTTGGGTGGTGAGAACATTCCACCAATTCTGTTTTTCCAACTGTCAGCAATCATAAAGATCTCTATTCAGACTTGTATGAGTGAGCAGCATGGCAGAGGGAAAAGCAATGTATTAAACTCGTGATTGTTAATTTGATCTGCTTTTGGATTTTGGATAAATTACTTATCCTCTCCAGGTCTCAGTCTCCTCATCTCTGGCTGAGGTTGGTTGGTTGGATCAGATTATCTTTCGAGGCCTTTTCAGCTAGAACATTTAACTGTTCTTTGTTTTTAAGAGATGTAAATGCTCTGTTTCCATTAAACCACCTGAATGTGTCTCAGGTGGATAGTCCATATCACACTTAGTACAGTCCTATGTCTCTTTAGAGAGAGAAATTCTGTAGTGGAATAGTAGGAACTCTTTTCCCTAACAATTATTGGGGATATTGACTAATCAAACTGAAAATCTTTTTTTTTTTTTAAGTTTTATTTATTTACATAATCTCTACACCCAGTGTGGGGCTTGAAGATCAAGAGTCTCATCCTCTTCTGACTTAGCCAGTCAGGCACCCCCCTCCCCTTTTTTGATTTCCAAACTGAAAATTTTGATTCAACATTATATATATATATATATATAGAGAGAGAGAGAGAGAGAGAGCTTTTAGAAGGGTACCTGGCTACATTGTAAGTAGTCAGTGTTAGTTGCTGTTAATATTATTGTTTGTCAGATGGGAGAAGCCACCTACCATTTGTGTCTGTCAGACTTCATCAGTGTTTTGACTCTTGACATGTTATTTTGTTAATCCATTTTCTTTTTTTTTTTCTTAATCCATTTTCTTATAGAAATAGATCTACTCTGTAATTATTTTTCTAACTCCATAGATTTATTTAGACTTTCAAAATGCTTCTTGAAAAAAGAACTCCAAGATCAAATATGCTAGGGAAACTCAGCATATCTTCTGTCCTTTTGGAGAATCATAGTGCTCATTAGCCTGTTGGGGTTTCTGATACTTCTTAAAAAACAAACAAAAAATTTAAGCATATATAAACTGGCATTTTGGAAGTGTATTTGTGCATAGAACCCAATCTTAGTGAAAGCTATTAACATCTCAGTGAAGACATTTTTGAAAATACTGTTTATTGCATTTACTATTTTCTTTTCTCCTCCAACTTAGCATTGTTCGCTAGAACTTGCATTAGAAACTTAAATATAACTTCTTTTCTCAAGTTTTCCTATCCCTGATACAGTCAATTTCAAGAAGGCTGAAATTGTTATACTCCTATTTTTTTAGAAAGCTGAAATTTCCAATTCATTTTCGTCATCTTTAGCTAATTCAGAGGAAGTCATAGAGGGAAATTCTGTTGACTCATCAATCCAGCAAGTGGTGGGGAGCGGAGGCCAAAGGGTCATCACTATAGTGACTGATGGAGTCCCTCTGGGTAATATACAAACTGCGATCCCTACTGGAAGCATTGGCCAGCCATTTATTGTAACTATGCAAAATGGACAGCAAGGTGAGTTATCCCATTCAGACAAGTGTGTATGAAAAGATATTTTATTTTTTATTTTTTTAAAGATTGTATTTATTTATTTTTAAATTTTTTTTAAGATCTTATTTATTTATTTGACAGAGAGAGATCACAGGCAGGCAGAGAGGCAGGCTGAGAGAGAGAAGGAAGCAGGCTCCCTGCCGAGCAGAGAGCCTGACACGGGGCTCGATCCCAGGACTCTGAGATCATGATCTGAGCCAAAGGCAGCAGCTTAACCCACTGAGCCACCCAGGCACCCCTATTTATTTGACAGAGAGATCACAAGTAGGCAGAGAGGCAGGCAGAGAGAGAGGGGGAAGCAGGCTCCCTGCTGAGCAGAGAATCCAATGCAGCTCGATTCCAGGACCCTGAGATCATGACCTGAGCCAAAGGCAGAGGCTTAACCCACTGAGCAAACCAGGCGCCCTGAAAAGATATTTTAGACATTCCACAGTCCTCTAAATATGAAGCATTAAAATAAGTAGTGGGACTAAAAGAATGCCAGATACCAGATTGGCTCCAAGAAAAAAAGAAATGGAAACTAGGCTGGCAAAGCCTGATTTCCCTAATATATATAAAATGTGTGAGTAAAACCAATAGTCTGGTAGATAAAAGAGGAAATAGTATGAACTAGTAGTTCACAAAAAATACTGATGGGTTTTAAAAACACAGAAATATGGGGGCACCTGGGTGGCTCAGTGGGTTAAAGCCTCTGCCTTCCGCTTGGGTCATGATCCCGGGGTCCTGGGATTGAGCCCCGCATCAGGCTCTCCGCTTGGCAGGGAGCCTGCTTCCTCCTCTCTCTCTGCCTGCCTCTCTGCCTGTTTGTGATCTCTGTCAAATAAATAAATAAAATCTTTAAATATATATATATATAGAGAGAGAGAGAGACACTGAAATATGTTCAACCTACTTCATACATAGCAAGAGAAATGCAAGTCAGTTCTGCACTGAGATACCATTATAACACTGTGTTGTCAGAGGTGTGGGGAAATAGGCACTCATAAATCACTGGCTGGCTCAGTCAGTATAGCTTGTGATCCTTGATCTCAGAGTTGTAATTTCTAGTCCCATGTTGGGTGTAGAGAGTATTTAAAAATAAAATGTAAAAAAAAAAAAAAAAATCACTGCTGAGAGTGTAAATTAATGTATCCTCTAAAGAATTGATTGCAATTATCTATCAGCATTTTTTAAAAGATTTTATTTATGGGAGACAGAGTGCTTATGTGCTCTTAAGCAGGGAGGAGAGGCAGAGGGAGAAGCAGATTGCCCAGTGAGCAGGGAGCCTGACATGGGGCTCATTCCCAGAACCCAGAGATCATGACCTGAGCCAAAGGCAGATGCTTAACTGACTGAGCCACCCAGGAGCTCCCAGTATCTATCAGTATTAAAGATACACATACCTTTTGGCTAAAAAGTTCTTTTCTAAGAATTTATATTCACACAGAAATGAAATATATACTGAGTTACTCATTATAGCACTATTTATAATTGTCCAAGATTAAAAATAACCTAAGTAGATGGTAGCTGTATGTGGTGAACATAACATAATGTATAGAGAGTTTGAGTCACTGTGTTGTACACCTGAAACTAGTGTAACACTGTGGATTAACTATACTCCAATAAAAAATGAAAAATAAAAAGAATGTAAGTATATGTCAGTAGGGAACTAGATAAAGAAATTATGGTACACCCATACATTGGAGTGCTGTGCAGCTGCTGAAAACAATGAGGAAGTGCCTTATATACTAGCGTGGTCTCATCCCAAAACCATATTGTTAAGTGACAAAAGTAAGATGCAGAACAGTGTGTAGAATATGCTACACTTGTATTTTTTAAAAAGGGGGAAATATATGTATATTTGCTAATATATTCATAGACTTAAACCATTTCTGAAGGAATATTCAAGAATAACATCAATAACATTGGTTACCTCCTTGCTTGTGCTCTCTCTGTCAAATAAATAAATAAAATCTTAAAAAAAAAAAAAGTGGGGGGATGCCTGGGTGGCTCAGCTAAGCATCTGCCTTCGGCTCAGGTCATGATCCCACATCCGGCTTCCTGGTCAGTGGGGAGCCTCCATCTCCCTCTCCTGCTCCCTCTGCTTGTGCTCTCCCTCTCCCTCTTTCTCTGAAAAATAAATAAATAAAATCTTAAAAAACAAAAAAAAAAACATTGGTTGCCTCAGAAGGTACCTGGGTAGCTGGGGATGGATGGGAGACTTTTCACTACATATGTTTTTATAACTTTTAATATATTTTTAAAGATTCTATTTTTTTGAAAGAGAGAGAGAAACTGAGAGCAAAAGAGACAGAGCACGAGCAGGGTAAGGAGTTAGAGAGAGAGGGAGAAGCAGACCCCTCTCTGAGCAGGGAGCCTGACTTGGGGGCTTTATTCCGGGACTGTAAGATCATGACCTAAGCTGAAGGCAGGCGCTCAACCAACTGAGCCACTCAGGCGCCCCATAACTTTTAATTTTTGAACCATGTGAATGTATTACTTCTTCAAGAAATACATCAATAGTTTCGTTTTGTTTTTTCAAGAGCAACTAATCATTATAACTTCATTCCTTAAAAATACTGGAGTTTGAGGTCCTTGTGTGGCTCAGTTGGTTAAGTGTCTGACTCTTGATTTTGGCTCAGGTCATGATCTTAGTTTGGTGAGATTGAGTCCCGCCTTGGGCTCCATGCTAGGAATGGAGCCTGCTTAAGTTTCTCTCTCTCCCTCTCCTTCTGTGCTGCCCCCCTTTGCTTGCACTCTCTCTGTCTCTGTCTTTAAAAAAAAAAAAATTGGAGTTTGAAAGAGGAGGGTTGGTTTATTGCATTTGAGTCACCAAAATTTTGACTTGGCCTAAATAATGATGGGGATTTTATAATTTTCAAACTATTTAAATTGGTGGATCTTTGTAGCATAGAAAGAAAAAACAGATATTAAACCTATATAATTGGGTGCCTGGGTGGCTCAGTCAGTTCAGCTTCTGCCTTGAGCCCCTTATCTGACTCCCTGCTTGGTGGGGAGTTTGCTTCTCCCTCTGCACCTCCCCCCACTCATGCTCTTATATTCTTGCTTTCTCTCTCTGTCAAAGAAATAAAATCTTAAAAAAAAAAAAAACCAAACCCTGAATAATTCAAGTTTTAGTATCATAAATTCCTATTGGGGGGGGCATATACTATTGATGTTTTTGTGAACATGGTTTAAAGCTTTGGGGCTTCCTTGGGTAGGTGAGAAACTCTGCTTATAATGGAGTCAAATAAATGAGAATGGAGTTGTTTTGAGGGGAAAAAATATTTGAAGTTTTGCCTGGATGAACTATACCACCTTTTACAAATGTATTTAACCAGGCACAAAGAAGGAAAGCTGATATTTTGTGAATTATCTGCAGGATGTTTTAAAATCCCAACTAAACTGCCTTTTCCACCTAGCAGATATCTAAGCTGTTTTCTATTGCCATCAGTTGATGAGTAACCAAGGAATACAAGCTAAGTTTTAAATCAGCCAAACCAAGTAACTAGGTAAATTTTCTGTTTTAAACAAAAATCATAATGTAACCTAAAACCTAAATAGAATTTTAAAGTTTTTAATTTTGTGATCATTGTAGATATGTGTATAGTTTGGTTTGTTTTTTTTTTAACGATTTTATTTATTTACTTGATAGAAAGAGGGAGAGTACAGAGGAAGAGTGAGAGAAAGAAGCAGACTCCCCACTTAGCAGAGAGCCCCACATAGGGCTTGATCCCAGGACCCTGAGATCATGACCCGAACCAAAGGCAGATGCTTAGCCAACTAAACCACTCAGGTGCCCCTATAGTGTGTTTTTTTACATAGGCTCCACATCTAGTATGGAGTCCAGTGTGGGGCTTGAATTCACGACCTATGATCAAGACCTGAGCTGAGATCAAGAGTCAGACATTTAACTGACTGAGGCACCCAGGTGCCCCAGTGTGTACAGTTGTGAGAAATAATACAGAGATATCCAGTGTCCCTATCACCCAGTTTCCCCCATTGGTAACATTTTGCAGTAATACAATATCACAGACAGGAAATTGACATTGATACAATTCGCCAACCTTACTGAAAATTTTCCAATTCTATATGTATTCATGTATGTGCTTGTGTATGCACTTAGTTCTCTGCAGTGAATACAAGTGTAGATTTGTGTGAGCACTACCACAGTTGAGACAGAGAACAGTTCAAGCGCACCTGGATGGCTCACATGGTTAAGTATCCAACTCTCTGATTCAGCTCAGGTTATGATCTTAGGATGATGAAATTGAGCCCCGTGTAGGCTCCACAGAGTGTGGAGTCTGCTTGAGATTCTCTCCTCTGTCGCACTGCCTCCCTGCCTACTCCCTGTTCACATGTGCTCAGGCGCTCTCTTGCTTGCTCTCTCTTAAAAAAAAAAAAAGAGAGAGAGAGAAAAGTTCCATCACAAGGATCCCTTGTGCTACTTTTGTATCTATAGGTACCTCACTTCCCAACACATTCCTGACCCTTGGCAACCACTAACTCATTTGTTTTCTAACTCTATACTTTTGTCATTCCAAGAATATTGTAATAAATGGAATCATGTAATATGGAACCTTTTGAGATTGGCTTTTCTTCTCTCAGCACAATTCCCTTAAAATCTATATAAGTTGTTGTTTGTATCAATAGTTCACTCCTTTTTATGCTGAATAGTATCCATGGTATGGATTACCACAGTTTGTTTAACCATTCATTGAAGGACATTTAACTTGTATCTAGTTTTTTGCTATCTATGAATAAAGCTGTTATGACCAATAGTGTACATGTTTTATGGGAATATAAATTTTGAGTTCTCTGGGATAAATGCCCCAAGGTGCAATTGCTGGGTTGCATGCTAAGTACATGTTTAGTTTTGTAAACATGTCTAATTTTGTAAATACTTTGACAGAGCGTGAACTATTTCCTAGAGTGACTGTACCATTTTATAGTCCCACTAACAATTTATGAGTAATCCAGTGTTGCCACATCCATGTCAGTGTCTGGTGTTATCACCATTTTTTAAAATTTTAGCCATTCTGATAGATGTGCAGTGCATTGAACTGTTTGTTGACCCTTTTCTCATTTATCTACAAAAGAGAAATTTATTAAATTGGATATAGTGAGTGGTAAACTGCTTTCATGTGAAGTTCCTCAAAAATGTTATGTAAAGACATTAGGCCTTCATTAGACAGGTTACTCCCAAGTAATTGTAAGCTTATTGGCCATAGTTAGACTTCTTTATTTTAGAGAGAGAGAGAGTGAGCCTGTGTGCAAGCAGGGGTGGGGGTGGGCAGAGAGAGAGAAACTTAAGCAATCTCCACACTCAATGTGGAGCCCAGTGCAGGGCTGGATCTCATGACCCTGAGATATGACCTGAGCTGAAATCAAGAGTTGAATGCTTAACCGGCTGAGCTACCCAGGTGCTCCTAGAGTTAGTTAGACATTTTTTTTTTAAGGTTTTATTTATTTATTTGAGAGAGAGCACAAGCAGGGGAGTGGCAGAGGGAGAGGGAGAAGCAAAACCTGCTGAACAGGGAGCCTGATGTGGAGCTCAATCCCAGGACCCTGGGATCATGACCTGAGCCAAAGACAGATGCTTAACCAACTGAGCCACCCATGTGCCCCCCGAATTAGACATCTTTATATAAGAGCACCAGACCCAGTGTTAACTGCATGGCTTCCAAATCTGATACTCTAATCTCTCCTTTCTTTCTGTAGGCCATGATTTACCTGTTGATTTTAAGATCCAGAGAGATATGAATAATAAGATTTCAGCTAATATATTTCAGTTTATTTTCTAATTTAAAGCAAGCAGGGGTGCCTGCCTGGCTCAGTTGGCAGAGCTTGTAATTCTTGATTTCAGGATTGTAAATTTGATCTCCACCTTGGGTGTAGAGGTTACATAAAAATAAAATCTTAAATAATAAAGTAGGCGGGCACCTGGGTGGCCCAGTCGGTTAAGCGTCTGCCTTCAGCTCAGTTCATGATCCCAGGGTCTTGGGATCGAGTCCCAGATTAGGCTTCCCATCCACAGGGAATCTGCTTCTCTCTCTCCCACTCTCCCTGCTTGTGTTCCCTCTCTCACTATCTCTCTCTGGGTCAAATAAATAAATATAATCTTAAAAAAAAATAATAAAGTAGGCAAAACCTCTTTGTTTCACAATGTATTCATTACCTCCAATTGGTTTCCTTTGGCTTGTAGTTCTAACTGTACCTGCTGGTCAGGTTGCAGAGGAAACTGTAATTGAAGAAGAGGAAGAAGCAGAGAAGTTGCCTCTGACTAAGAAACCAAGAATAGAAGAGAGGACAAACAGTGTGGAGGAGAGCAAGGTAATGTTCTTAGCAGCAGTAGATAGAAGAGAAAGGAAAGAATCAAAAGCCAAAAAACTTTTAAGGCCTGAACCCTTCTTTACGTTTTTTGTCTACTTTCTGGATAATCTGGGATTAGGAATCTTAACCTGGTGGTGACATTGTTTACCTTTACAGGAGGGCACTGAAAGAGAGCTACTCCAACAGCAGCTCCAGGAGGCCAATCGAAGAGCCCAGGAATACCGACACCAGCTCCTAAAGAAAGAACAGGAAGCAGAGCAGTACCGCCTCAGGCTAGAGGCTATGGCCAGACAACAGCCCAATGGAGTTGATTTCACCATGGTTGAAGAGGTGGCCGAAGTAGATGCTGTAGTAGTGACAGAGGGTGAGATGGTAGAGAGAGACACGGAAGTGACTGGGGCAGGAGGGACCGTAGAGCCTCATTCTGGAGTTTCCTTGGAAACCGTTTCATCTTAATGTGCGAGGGCCACAACTTGTACTGTGTCCATCTTTTTCCTCTTTTTAAAAGAAAATACAGAGGACAGACATTGTATAAAAATTAAGAATGTCCTTAAGAAGAAAACTATAGCAGGGTAACAGTGCTTGGGCTCAGGAAGGCTTGCTATGCAACTGGAAAATTCAAAGCCAAATTTAGGGAATACTTCTTTTGAAGGACCAAAAGAATAAGGACCAATTTTCTCAGCTCACATCATCACTTTAAGCTTAGAGGGTTAATTGTTGTGGGTTGATTGTTTTTTAAATAACTGACTTTGTATCAGAAGATTTTAAGATAACATTCCTAGTATAGACATGCACAGAGCTTTTTATAATTGCACCGTCAAGTGACCTTAAATTTTGCCTTATATTTATGACGTGTACCTGGTAGAGAAGAAAACTAACTAGGAGGTGGGTGAGAAGCAAGCTTTTGGGAAGAGAAAATATATGTTCTGCTTCCAAAGGAGCAGGCATTCCCCCCATCCTGATTTAATTTCACCGAAAAGAAATTGGTAATTGCCTAACTCTGCATCCATTATGTGTCCATAATTCAGATGCCAGTTTAAGAAACTAAAGTGGAATATTTAAAAACTGGAAAGGAAAGAAAACTTGTTTATGTGGGAGAAGTGTATGTAAATCCCAAATCCTCCAGGCTGTGCTTCACAATGCTGGAAAGTGGCCAGGAAGAGGCTTGTGGGGTTATGAAACGATCTGGTCCCGAGATACAAACTTTGCTCTGGCTGGATTTTATAAAATTGAAATCAGGAAGATAGTCTGTTGCTAGAACAACTTGCTTCCACACATTTATTTATATAATATCAACTTTTTAATTTTATAAAGTGTTATTGAGTTTTCTAAGTGTGCCTTTGTGTGGAGCTTACATGGTATCCTTCTCATTGCAAAAAAAGAAGTCGGGGGAGAGGCAATTGCTCAGGGTGTTGGTGGAGTTATGTTTCCATTTGACCTGGGATGAGCAGATTGTTCTGTTCCTTAAGGTCGGCTTTTTTGCAGAGCTTTTGTGCCTGTAGGTGCTCAGTGTGTGTTGGCAAAAGAGTGAAAAGCTAGAAGTGCCATAAAGTAAGGAACCAAAAATTCTGGCTCAATAACTTCATCTGCCTGACTCCGTTCTCTACCACTGTGCCTGCTCCCTTTTCTTAGATGCTTTTGTAAAGTGTTTCATTGCTGGGTTTTCTTTGTGCACCAGTTTGGAGTTTTTTCAGAAGGAGGGGTTATGGATGGAGAGAGAGCGGTTGTGGAGAAGTTACATTACAGAAGTTGCTGCCTTTGACATTGGGCCCCCATCATTCTAGACCTGCTCTCTTGCTTTATTGTAAATGAGAAGAAGAAACCAGAGGATGTGCCAAGTAAACATTTGAATGACTGTTTAGAATACGGTTTTCTTAATTAGCAATCATGGGGAAAACATATATTTTTAATTTGGAGTAAAACTTGACAGTTCACATGGTTCTATTTATCTTGATTAGTGAAGTAATTTGCTGCAGTTTTCCAGAGGTGCAGAATCACTTGGGACTCAAAATAGACCTAAAACATAACTCGCCAAACCAAATTTGACAAACAGAATTGGTTATTAGAGGCTTATAGGCAAAAATACCAGTTTGAAATTAATCCTGGCCATTGGCCACCACTAGGAGAAAACCACCACTAGGTTTTCTCCATAGGCTTGAGAGATTACTCTTGGTTTGGGGGGAAGACGAGAAGCCCAGGTAAGGGCTAGGGTGAAATTGTGCCATTTTCTGTCAAGTTGTCCTTTTTCGGCTTGCAATGTTTTTCTTTTTTCTGACTCCCTTTGTGAACCAGATGCTAACAATAAGCTGCTATTGTGTGCCTTTTCGGAGCTTTAGCCTAACCATAGAGACAGATGGACCAAGTGAGATTTTAGATGTGTTTGGTTTATTTTCTTTGTTTATATATTGACTTTAATTCCTTTTTTTCCCCTCTTTCCTGTTAAGGGAGTGGAGATTAACTCTGCAGAGGATAGCCAGGCCCAGCTACTTGTCTCTCTGGGATAGCTTCTGACCAGGGCCATGAGTTGCCATCCAACACTCCCTGCTGAGCATACAGAGTTCCTACTGTTTGGGGGAACTTCAGAAATACTTATCATTCTCTTTCTGTAGGAGGCTGTCACCCTCACCTAGAAAAATCTCTAATACAGCCCAAGTCATTTTTGATGATGGGGTCTCTGAGATAGGGAGTTGGGATAGGGAAAGAGAAAAGAGAAATGTCTGGAAAGGGAAGAGTAGCAAAAAGGTATTTGTTGTTATTTACTTGAAATACACCTTTTATCATCCCAGAGAAGGGAAATAGGATTTGATCTCCAGTTGTATTGCCATGGAGAAAATGGCAGGTCCGGATCCCTTGAAGTAGATAGAAATTAAAGATGAAATGCATTAACGGCAATAACATTTTATGATTTGCATCTTTCAGGATCAGCAATGGAAGTTGGGAAAATGTTGCTAGATCCCAACTGTTGTGTTGGCAAGATTGGATTACAGAGAATCAATTAACAGACAGGTGGTTCAGACTTGGTACTTAAGCAGAAGAAACTTGGAACCTAGGATATTGCCTACTTTAAAATAAAGCTGCTTTAACAATATCAGTATTAATTTATGAATTTTAGATTCTACATTTGCATTTTGGTTTTAAGCCTTCTCTGAAAAAAGAAAAAGAAAGAAGTCTTAATATTTCTTTTCTTATTCCTAGCTTCAGGGAAGTTACTTATAAATATATAAATGTACAATTCCCTTCCTGTCACTACCTCTGTGGGATCTCTTAATTGTAATGCCAGAGTTGAGGTTTCTTACTGGAGATATGGGAGAACTTGACTTTAGGTTTTCTATGTTTTGAACTCAGTGCCTTAAAAGATGTTCTTTTTTTCCTGTCAGATCCATGTGTAGTTATTTTTGGCCTTGCCTTTCCCCCTTCTTCAGCCTTACCATGGCATTATTAAAATTTTTGTATCTGCTCAGTAATGTTAGAAATCTATGGCATACCAAATTTCTTTCTTTCTTTATATTGATATAAAAGAAATGAATTTACCAGAGGGCCCTACAGTCAAAGTTAGGTATTGTGTGATCAGGGCATTTTTAGTACGCATTTGCTGGGTGCATATTGGTATGTACATTTATAAATACATATGGATCTTCCCACTTTTTGTTTATTTGAGGTTCAGCTTTAAAATACTTGGCATAACCTGGAAATATTTTCATTCCGTTAAACACATTGAAGAGGGTTCCTGTGGCTTCACTAAGGGGGCTGAGGAAGAAAAAGCTCTACTCCGGCCCTTCTCTGAGAGGTATGCTTGAACCTGGTGTAATGAGAAACCTGAGTAGTAAACCTCGGGGAGAACCAGTGTCTGGCTTTACAGAGACTTGTTTAGCATATGGTGTGATGACATCATATAAGCTAAACAGTTCAGAGCAGTGTCAGGGGTGAAGACAGAGCTGCCCTTCCACAGAGCAAGCCTCCTTTCCACTCCTATGGCAGCTGTTTTCACTGGCACTTGTAAGATCTCTTACACCTCTGAACAGGAAAGAAACCTTAGATAAAGGGGTCATGGCACAAGGAGCGGGCATTCTGTACATCTGCTTTCCCAGTTTAGAAATCTTATCCTTTTGAGAAATCATTTTGAAAAAGCTTGTATGGCTCTCTCCTAACAAACATCATATGGACTTCCAGAGCTAGAAGATTTCAGGCATATAGTGAACTCTTCTCAGAAGTTGAATATTGAGTAGAAGTCAGTTTTTATCCAAATTTATTGGAGAATGGCCTCCTTGTGCAGACATCTCTGTATGGCCAGGAAAGGAGCTTTTAGAATGAACTATATGTCAGCACTGCCTGTATCCTGTTCCCGGCTCTTATCTATCTCCATTTTATGTGATGAATATTTTCCGAGTTAGTACTCTATTTCCTATCCCAATATATTTAATATGAGAACAGGAGTAAGAAGGATATGAATTTGAATTAAGTATCTTTGAGCCTCTGGTGCTTTTTTTTTTTTTTTTTTTTTTTGGGGGGAAACTCTCTAGGCTTAGTGGGTGGGGTGACATTCCTAGACTGTACAGTAGCAATTTGGCTGGCTAATGGCAGGAAATTGTGATTCCCTATCTCTCTCCCCTACTTTCCCTTCTAAACTACTACTGCTTCTGTGACCCCATTGTTCTTATCTCATTGAGTCTTTCCCAGGCACTAGAACTTAATTAGTAGGTCATTTCTAATCTATGGGCCTTGTCTTTCCTCTTTCCACTCCCCTCCTTCCCTATTACATGTATTTTCTGTTTATTCTGAAGTGGTTTGTTTCTGAGAATTAATCTAGGTCATACCCTATATCCTGTGCTTCCTAGTTGGTTTTAGGCATCTCACTTGGCCAACAATAATGATTGCAGCTCCCTTCTCTGGCTTTGTCCTGTAGCCTGTCCTCCTACCAAGGCCATTTATGTTGGCGGAGAAAAAGAGGGTGGGTGGGGGTGCCTAGATTCTTCTCAAAATGTCCTCAGTTTTTCAGGTTTTCTGACAGCTTTATGTACAGTATGTTTTAGGAAAACAAATATACTTCTCTTTTTTTATTTAGGATTTTAATAAGATTTGAGTTTGATGAGGAAGGGTGTGTGTGTATGTGTGTGTGGGTGATCATTTGTGTGTATATACACATACAGATCTATATTATATATACAGTTTTTGTACTATCATTTAAAATAAAGATATTTCTTAATAAAAATGTCAAAGTCATACCATTTCAGAGTGTCATTGAAAGTTTTTTCCATCTCCTGGGCAAAAATTGCTACCTAGTCCCTGATCACAGGTAAATCTCAATAGGAAGTTTTCTGTCTGGCTGAGTTAATGATGGTGGAGCAGGGGTAGGGTTGCATGTGTGTGTGGGGGGGTGTCTTCTTTCCTCTGTTGTGGTCTCTTCTAACCCATTCCCACCCTCTGCATTTTCCTTATCCTAGCTCCTCCTTAGGTAGTATTCATAATAGGCAGAGCAAGTGGAGATAAGGACTGAAGGGAGAATGGAAAGAGCTTTTGACTGGTTTGTTAGATTTACATCTTCCTCCCTTTTGTCATCCCCCACTCCCTTCCCTAAAAGCAGACAACCAGGAGAAGAGCCCAGTAGCTGAAGGAAATGATTCTGTGCCTTGTGTGGGAGTAAAATCAATGCTAAGATATGGGTTGGGGGGAGGGGACGGGACATCAGGTTCAGGGAGGGTTGGAAATTGATTTGCTTTGCTGGCTTCTCAACTATTCTTAGTTAATAAGGTGCCCGTTGCTATCTCAGTCCAATGCAGCATACATTTATTAAGTAAATACGAATAGCAGTGTGGTGGTAGCACAAACACCACTGATACCCAGGACTGAAGAGACCCATCTAGCTGACTAGACGGGATCCCCATCCAGGGTATAGTGTTCTCAAAAGCTGCTCCACTTGCAGTAAGGATGCCTTTCTTAAGTAAAGGACAGTATTACCAAAGTCAAGGACATATAAGCATCTGTGTTCAGCAACTAGAATCTCCCAGGTCAGTATTTAGGAAATTGAACGCTTACCATGTACTAGGCTGCATATAGATAATTGCTTTTTGGTAAATACATATAATAAAAAAATCCAGTATACATATTAATTTTAAGGTACATCTGACAGAGTACCTCATAAATGCATATATGGTCTTTTGTTCTCCTGAGAGAAAAAGAACAGGCAAAGAAAAGAGAAAAAGAGCAAGGACTTGAGGAGGCTTGAGAAACAACTAAAAGTCTTATTAAAATCGTAGTGAGAGAAATCATTAGGAATGTGGGAAAGTTGGAAGGGAGTGGGGAGATAGGAACTTAGAGTTCTCTGAAGGGTGATCTTCTTAAACGATGGGAAAGAAACATGAATGAGGGCAACTTTCCTAAGATTTCCTCTGTGAAAATGAGCCCTTTACTCCAAAGAAATCAGTAGGTAGAAAATACAAGAGAAGGTTGAAATGGGAGCAACTTAGTGATAACCACAGACCTGTGTAGGGTTTGTGTACAATATCTGATAGGTTATAGATTAAGTCTGTTAAGACTACAGGGGATACCTAAAAAAAATGGAACTAGGTAACTGGGAATGTCCAGTAGACACTTTATTATTTTTTTTACAGAGAGATAGAGAGCACAAGTAGAGTGGCAGGCAGAAGGAGAGGGAGAAGCAGGCTCTCTGCTGAGCAGGGAGCCGGATGTGGGGCTTGATCCCAGGACCCTGGGATCATGACCTGACCCGAAGGTAGCCGCTTAACGGACTGAGCCACCCAGGTGCCCCTCCAGTAGACACTTTAAATATATGTGTTATAAAAATGTTTTGGAGGAGTACTTGGGTGGCTCAGTCTGTTAAGAGTCTGCCTTCGGCTCAGGTCATGATCCCAGGGTCCCGGGATTGAGCCCCATGACAGGCTGTCCGCTCAGCGGTGAGTCTGCTTCTCCATCTCCCTCTGTGATCTTTCTCACTTTTGCTCTCTCTCAAATAAATAAAATCTTTTTTTTTTTAATGTTTTTTTAAGAAGAAGACTGTAAAGGACCCCTGAATAAGGTGTGGAGCTGCACTCTGCTAATGTAGCCAGTCCTAAAGGTTGAAGAAGTTCTTACTGTAAAGGAAAGTGATATTTGAGAAGCCAATATTATAAATAATAACAGTAGCTTCTATGCCTAAAGGGGTATTTTTGTTTAAGTAAGCTTTTCACCTAATGTGGGACTTGAACTCATGACCTGAGATCAAGAGTCACATGCTCTACTGACTGAGCCAGCCAGGTACCTCTCTATGCAGTAAAGTTTTGTTACATGTCTGGCATTGAGCTAGGCCTTTCAAATATACACTAACATACCTATCTTGCAAGGTATGTATTATCTTCAGACTATAGATTAAAAAAAAAAAAAAAACAGGTTGTGACTATCCAGAGCCCCTCAGCTTTAAAAAAAAAAAATGTTCTTTCTAAAACTACAGTTTCTACATAGTTTTTGGTGTTCTGCTGTAGTTTATCCTTTCATTGGAATGTGATCTTACTTGACTTTGGGCAGGTTAAGAAACTGCAGTGATGTAACTTCAAGCAGCTTTTTTGCAAACTCCTTAAAGTCAGTTTTGCTCCAAAACTGATTCAGGATGCATCTCCACAAAGTTGCTGGCCAGCAATACTTGACCAAGGAGAGTCAAAGATAAGCCCTCTTGCAGAAAATGGATGCAGTCTTCAGCTCTAGGTATGCTGGATAGCTTCTGTCTTTCCTTCCAGATCATACTCCTCCCTCTATATCTTTTTCTCTATCCTGGGAACTAACCTGCATGAAGTTCATCAATGGGCTCCCTGCACTTTGGCTTCTACTTTGATTCCACCAACAGGGGCCTCTGGAAGGAGAGGAGGGAGAGAAAAAACCGGAATCAGTATATGGATTTCTCAAGTATCCTCTGATTAAAGGTCACTGCTCCTCTCAGTGCAGCCTTTCCTTCCAATTCCAAATACCCGCTATCTCCCTTTGTCTTTTCAGGCCTAAGGCTCTTACTCACCTCCAGTTACTGACCTGTCCTTTGCCCATACTTTTTAAAATCAGCCCTTCATTATTTTGAGCATGTTGTCTGTTTTCCTATTGGGACCTTAATACATGTGGTAAAAGTAGGCAGTCTTTTTGGATTCATAGGCTTTATATTTTATCCATGTACTTCAACCTTACTCTCATATATGTAACCTTAAATTCTTAGGAGTCAACATATCCGAAGGTCAGCTACTGGATTAAGTAGCAGAAAGTGACTCATACCTGTGTGGTTCCCAAGTGTGGGGTAGTGGCATCAAGGAGACATAAATTTGAGAGACAATAATAGCTCAGGCCCCTGTGACTTACCTCCCAAAGAACCCAAGACGCTAAACAGCTTTTCAAGCTTTGTGACTGTGGAACCTTCTGTGTTTCAGATCCCTAAAGTCTTACACAAGCTGATGGACTCTACCCACTGGGGCCCTGGTTTCTCCATAACCTCCCAGGATGCCTCTGAGAAATCAGCTTAGAAATCCCTAAGGGTGAGGACTTTATCCTCTTGTTGGCACACGCAGGTTTTTCTAAAGACAAAGTTTGAGCTAATACCCTAATTAAAAAAAAAAAAGTATCAACAGTATCCTTAACTATTTAAATATCCTTAAATTAAGGAGTCATGTTTATCCCTCTGTTGTCAGGGACAATAATTTCTTTGAATTCATTCCCTTAGTTTATTATTCACTATCTACCAGGATGAGATATTTCATGAGTATTATTGAATTGCGTACTTCATAGCAGTCTACTTTATTTTGGGCAAATAACCTTTTCCTACAAAGCACTTAATTTAAACCTATATATTTATATGGTGCTTTATGACCTCCTGTTGGCATAGATCCTTTACATGCTTTACAAAAGAAATCGAGGCACAGAGAAGTTAGTCCCACACAAAACTGTTAAGTGGCAGAGTCCAAGGACTGAGAAGGTTCTGAGTCCAGCTTAGGCTCCCTTGGCTAGAGAAGTCACCATACTTTGTAAATGATCCCCCTTCTTGATTAAAATGAAACAAGGACTTTAACCTGTAAATTGCTGTTGCCTGCATCAAGTCAAAAGATTAACTTCTCTTTTGAGTCTATATTTAAACGTAAAGATGGGGCGCCTGGATGGCTCAGTCGTTAGGCGTCTGCCTTCCCCTCGGGTCAGGATCCGTCAGGATCAGAGAGTCCTGGCCTGGGATCAAGCCTCACATTGGGTTCCCTGCTCAGCGGGAAGCCTGCTTCTCCCTCTCCCACTCCCCCTGCTTTGTTCCCTCTCTGGCTGTCTCTCTCTGTAAAATAAATAAATAAAATCTTTAAAACAACAACAAAACAACCTAAAGATCATTTACCCCTTTGTTGTGACCACCTTCAGGGCAAGAACTGAAGTATTTGTGAGACTTATCCCTCAGAAGGTTGAGAACAGCAGCAGCCCTAACATTTTTCTTTGTCCTGACTTCAACACCTTGGTTTGAAGAGGATAATGAAATTAGGTGACTGGAGAGTTGCTCCACTCCTTCCTTGCCCTCCTTCACTATCTACGAAACTAGCAACGGTTTTAAAGCATCTTGGTTTAAGTAAGACATCCAAAGAGGGGGAAACTAAGACCTAAAGGACCTCTCAACCTGGGGAAACAAGCTCCAAACAGAGGCAACAAATTTGGCAGAACAAGGTGTGAGGAAAGTTCAGAGGGCGATTTTAAAAAACATCTTGAGGGTAAAACTTGTTAAGTGAAGATCCTAAGGTTACAAAAGGAAACAGATTGCTTGGTAGAAGATCGCAAAGTTAGGACGCCTAAGCATGGGTTTGGAGGAATCATCATCTTAAAAGGTACCATGCTTTCTCCTTTAAAAACATTTTCACATACATTATAATTACTTGAGCCTCTCAAACAACCCCATTTTTCAGATGAGGAAATTGAGGTTTAGGGCAAAGTTCTGACTTGTCAGGATTACAGGAAGTAAAGGGCGGAGCTAGACACAATCACGGTTCTTCACCAAATTGTTTTCAGGGGTTTCTTACTCAAGGCAGTCCTATGGCGAACGGGGAAAGGGGACTGCCAAGGCTTCCTTAGCTGCGGGGCTTGGGGCGGCCTCCAGGCGGCGCCAGTGCGACGGCGACCTAAGGCTCCAACTGAGCGGATACTCGGGCCACGCGACGGTAAAGACCCGGACCTGTAAATCCGCAAAAGCGGCCACCGCCCGCGTGAGGCTTTAAGTGTCCTTAAACTCGAGGTAGTGGGCGGGACAGATGGTCCTGTCCGCCCCTCCCATTGGTTCCCGGGATAACAGACAGGTATCTTCAGCCAGCTCCAGCCAGAGAACAACAGAACAGACGCTCGCGGCTCGCTAGTTGATCCTCCGAGCGCCGGGCTGGAGCGCAGCCGGAGACTCCGAGACAAGAGGTTACGCATGCGTGCAAGGAAACACGCGCTCCTACGCCCCCTCCCGCTCCGATAAAGGGAACTAACCACCAACAGGGCCGAATCCTTTGCCGTTCTTTGCAGCCTATCCATCCTGCGACCTACACTCTCCAAATTCTTTAGGACGAGATTTCCTGTTGTGAAACTTAAACCACTTGCGCTGCAGCTTCATTTTATTTCTCAAAAAATACCCTCCCCACCCCCATGGAACAGGCTATGAAAACATCCTTGATCCAGAAATGTGCTCCAGTGCCCTCCCTACCCCACCTAAGTTCTGCCGTGGGTCTCCTGGGCCCTGGTTCATCTCCACACACCATTTCTTCGCTTGCCTCCTTCAGGAAACCTTTCCTGATTAACCCCGGTGGGACCGCAGCCATCCCAATTACTCGGGAGAGAATGCAAGGCCAAGATGAAGGCAGGGATTCGGGGGCAGAGGCGCCTAGCGAGCAGACCGGTTCCCGCCCCGCCCCCTCCGCTAGGAAAGTCAGGCACGGCTCGGGGACACAGCTGTATTGGGAAGCGGAGGCTCCTACACAGTAGGAGGAGGCACGTCCCGGGAGGCCCGAGGAATCTGTACACAAACGCGCGCGCGCGGCCCCAGCCCCGTCGGTCTGTCCATCCGCCCTGCGGCCCAGTCTATGGAGGAAGCCCGGAGGGGCGAGTTAAGGCAGCTTGGCTGAGGGAGGGGGGAGTGGGAGTGCGCCAGTTCCCCCGGAAAAGCTGGCTCACTGAGGGGGCGAGCTTCTCACCTCCCACTCCTCTCTCGAGGACAGGGGGAAAGACGTCAATAAATAAACCCGAGGCGGGCTGGGACCCCGGGAGACTCTCAGAGTCCAGGAAGGCTGGAGGTGTGGAACACGGAGAGAGGGAGGGCCTCTGTCCTTGGAGATGCGTCCATGCTCTTGGCCTTTGAGGGCACGGGCTTCAAGGGCGCCATCCGAAGACGTGGCGCAGCTCCCTTTTAAAAGTTAAAATGGCTGCCGTTGGGGACAGCCGGCTGGGAAGAGGGCGAGACGACGGGAGGCTTCGGGGGCAGCTGGGGCTTTTCGACGTCTACCCTCTTCAGAGCGCGGCCCCGATACCCCTCCGGCCGGCCCAGGTACAGGAGATGTCTCCCGGGACCCCCGCAGTACCTGGAGGGCCCCCCCCGAGGGGACCCGAGTGAGCAGGGCGGGGGGCGCCCGGTGCGTGGGGAAGGGCATCCTCCGACTGCTTCCGACCCCTAGCCGGGGAGCAGGGGCGGAGAGGGCAGGCCGGGTGGACGGCGCAGCACACTTCCCCTCGGGGGGCACGTCCAGCCTCAGAGGCGGTCCGCACTCCCGGGGGAGGAGGCTGGAGCCCGCAAAGAGGGAGGGGGCGGGGGTGGGAACCCGCTCTGGTGGGAGCGCCCGCGAGGTCAACGCTGCCACGGCCGGGGGCTCGGCCCCTTTCCTGGACGGCTGCGGGCCGTGCAGGTAGCGCAGCAGTTCTTCCAGGGTGGTGACTTCCACGGCCTGCCCGGGACAGCCAGGCGGTGGTGGCCTCACCAGCACTCGCGGCGCTGGCCCTCCCGCTGCGCTTCCGCCCCGCGCGCGGCCGGGGCCCTCCTTGGCGTTGTTCCCATTCTGGTTCCACTCCCAGGGCCCCCCAGCGTGGCGTAGGTGCTTGACGGGCAGCTCGGGCGTGGACTCCGGCGTGGGCAGGCAGGCCACCTCCGGCGGGGCTACGCCGTCGTGGGGAGGCAAGAAGGTGGTGTAGAGCTGGGGCATCTGCGCCCCGTCTCCGTCCTTGGGCGGCAGCTCTGGGCCCGCCCCGTGCAGCCGGGCCAGGCTGCGAAGGGAGAGAGGGCGCGGTAGCCCCGGAGTCTCGACGTCCTTGCTCCGACGTCTGTGGGCTCGGCGACAGGCGCAGGAGACCAGGAGGCCAGAGACTGAGGCGCCCAGGGCGAAGGCTGCAGCAGCACAGGCCAGGAGGAGTGGGATGGGGACGGAGAGGGAGGCTGAGGCTGGGGGGAGGTCCCGGCGCACGCCTGCTGACCGAGAGGGGAGGAGGGAGGCTCAGCCAAGGTAGGTGGGCATGGGAGGGCAAGTTCGAGTTTGACCTCTCTGCTGCTGCTGCTGCTCAGCTTCACTCCAGCACGAGCTGACCATCCTCATAATGACACCCCCCCCACCCCCCGTGCACTCAACACACAGTCAGTCCACCACACTAGACATCACACACAGGCTAGAGCTTGGGCCTGGGGAGTACCCATCCCAGCTCCGGGCCCTATAGCCATGCCAAGAGCCAGTTCCAAACTCTGCCAGTGCAGAAGGCCGTGGGTCTGAGCAGCCCAGCTCTGGGGAGAGGAAACTCCAGGCATTAGTGAGCACCAAACATGTCAGTGAGGGGCTTAGAATTCTTCAAGACTCACCAGCCCCACACTTCACTCCTATCCCTCCCAGCCAGCCCCCTTACCCTGAGTGTGAGCTCCAAGAGTGGAAGACTGGGGCCAGGGGTGGGCATCACTGGGGGGGCTGGGGGTCTCAGGGGAAGGGCCAGGACCCAGAAGCACTGGTGACAGAGACCAGGTCAGAGCCAATGAGGCTCCTGTTTTCTACCTCTGACACCCATTCAGTGGGTCCTCCCCACCCCTGCCCCCACTTTGGAACCCAAAGGTCCAGAACTCCAGCCTCTGCTTTCCTCTGGGCATGGGGAAAGGCTCACCATGCAGGACATTCTTTCATGTATTTTTTTCAAAAACTATTTATTAAGCACCCTACTGTGTGCCAAGCACTGAGCTCTATGTGGGCTGTTTGGAGGATGCCAGCCCTCATCTGAGACCTAGTGTGTGTGGGCAGCTGTCTGCTGCCGCCATGGAGCACAGACGTGGGTGCGTGGGGGCCGAGCAAGGGAAGATGGCGTTGGGATAGGCAGACTCACCATAAGCAGAATCCCCTGTGCCAGACTGACTCCCAGTAGCTCCATCTATGAAGAAGGAAGGCAGAGAGTGATGGGGGGCGGGGGCGGGGGGGGGCGGGGTGGTAGCTTCATGAAGAACCAAAGGGGGCGACTGCCACAGAAGTACATAAGCCCACACCTGGGCTGTAGCTGATGGCCATCACAGCCTTGTGCAGCTATGGCTATGGCTGTCCCAGCCCTCTTTACCTTGGCAGTCGCCGTGCTCCGTGAATTCCTGGTTCCCAGCTGGATCCACATCAGTCCTAGCAGGAGACGGAGGTAGCATAGGGTGGTTACATATCTTGCCCCCAGCTCCCACCCTGGCCCTGAGCTGCTTCATTGAGTGGGGCAAATAGAACTTTCTCCTCGGGAGATTTGGGGGCCCCTCACTTACCCACCAGGTCCCCTGATATCCACACAGCCTCTGGAGCTGTGCCATCCACAGTATGGGTCCTGAGAAGCCAGGCAGCTCCTGGGGAAACAGAGTCATATGAGGCTCACCGCTCTAATCCCATCCCATGGCCCTGCCCTTCCAGCTCTCACCCTGGCCTGCAGGAGGCCCCCGGCCCCATGTTCCCATCTTGCCCTGTCCCAATGCCTGTTCTAGGCCCTGGGCACTGCCCACCTGCACAATGCCCGGCGCACCCTTCCCTCCCAACCACCCCCTGCATTTCCCTGCCGCACCTTCCCCCATGCCTGTGTTCCCAGGCTCCTCTCACCTCCGACAGGCCCCGTGCCGGGCACACCGGCTGAGAGGGAGGTAGATGATGCAGCCAGAAAAAGCCACAAAGAGCCTGTGACCTTCAGTGTCCAGCTCCAGCCCTATGACCCGCCGTGCTGTTTGGGCGGCCCGCTTCCCACTGCATCTAGGGTGAGGCAGGAAGGAATCAGAGATGGGGCAGGGGAGGCTCCATTCTCCCTGGGTCAGTTAAAGAACAGAAGGTGGGGAGGTGCCCAAGACTACAACTCCCAGTGTTGCCCCACCACACTATCTAGCTTCTTACCAAACCCCTCTACCCTTTAGCTTCGGCCACATGGAAGCCTGCGTTGGAGTCCCCACCACATCCCCACATCCCAGTCTACCAGCTCACTTCCCATTCCTGCTCTGCAGGGTGATGATGGGGGGCGGGGAGCACTGCCAGACCAAGGCCTCACCTGGAGGGGCTGTAGGCATTGATTTCCTCCAGCAGGATGGGCTCACGTCCTCCAGAGGCGCCCCCCGGGGGCAGCACCTTCAGCACGGTCCCATCGTTGGAGCCCAGGAATAGGACTGTGGTGTTCCTGTAGGGACCAGCCCTACCATCCACAGCTAACTGGGTCAGTAGGGCCCTGGAGGGACAGTCCTCAGTCAGGGCCCCCCGACTGGTGGAATCCGGAGTGTCTCAAGGACAGTCCATGTATCCTGGTGCGTACTCCTGGGTCCTTCCCCCCTCCCAGACATTCTATTCCTTCATACCGCTTTCCCTCCATGTTCATGGGTTCTTCCTCTCACCAATGTGACTGACCCGTGTGAGGTCAGAGGAGAATGGCTGGGGCATGGGGGTTGGTCAGCAGTTGTTCTTTTAGTGGCATACCTGCTGGTGAGGGTGAGCAGAGGCTGATGGGTGGCCGGTGGCACAGCGGGGTCCAGCAGCGGGTGAGCCTTGATGAAGGTCAGGACATCATCGGGTAGGTCTCGAGAGGAGGGGAACAAGGCAGCCACACCGACTCCAGCACAGGATCCTGGCCTGGGAGGCACATGGGAAGGGGCAGCATTAGGACAGGGAGCCAGGGCTCAGTTAGGCTCTGTGTCCCCCACCAACTGCTCTCAGATACGATCGGTAACCCTTGCTCTCTCCCTTCACACAGACGTTCACACTACCACTTCCCCCTTCTCTGCAGCTCACCAGTCCCATGCCAGTCCGCTAAGCCCTCTCCCCATAACCCCACAGACCGTCTCTTCATAATCCCATGTGGGAACTCGCTGCTTGCTTCTGCCCCGACCCCAAAAAAACCACTCTCATCCTGGGTACCTGGGGGAGGGAACCCTGTCCTCAGATACAGGTGTCCAGGCCCCATCCAGACTCCTCTGCTCCTTGAACTTGCCCTCAAACCCATGCTCGATATCATCCAGGTAGAAGGCACAGACCGCAGAGCCAGGGATGCTGAAGGAGCCAGAAAAAGATGCGGGCTAGGTGTTGGAAGGGATCACACAGCTCCTCCCAGGTGAGACGGCAGCTAACCTTAAGCACCAGGTTAGGGGGCAGAGCCTGAGAGGGCGAGGCAGCCCCCCTAGGGGCCATGCTGGGAGAAAGAAGGTCAGAACAGCAAGCTGGCTTTGAAGGGAGTTTCCCCTCCAGATAGGGGCATCGGGAAGCTTTGAGAGGAGAGCTTAGACGCTGGAGGGACAAGGACAGATTGGACCACATTGGTTAGTCTAGTACTAACCTATTGGTCTGGGTGGTGAAGACCCCAAAGAGAGCGGAGCGGCCATACAAGTCCACAGGCCCAGTTAAGGCCTGTAAGACGTCAAAATAGAAGGTAGAGTCCCCAGGGACAGAGCAGTTGAGCCTCAGCTTCAGGAAGGATGTCCAGTGGCGGTCCAAGGCCCGAGGCGAGCCACCCATGTCACGCTTACACACACGGGCGACTCGGGAGAACTGTACCTGGGGTAGGAGAGCAGGGGATGCAGAGAACAGTGAGGGCCTCAGGGCCAGCAGGGCAGGGTGCAGGTGTTGGGGGTATCTGGGAGCACCAAGGGACAGACGCCAGGGCCACAGCAAAACAAGGGTACAGTATGGTAGATCAGACTGGGTCAAGGATGAGGGACACAGCAGGATGTGGAGGCAACTCCAAGTTGGGGCTCAGAGTCCAGGGGATTGTGTGGTAGACATGAGGTCCAGCAGCTCTCCCCTGACTCTGGCTGGCTCCTCAGGATCACGCAGAACCCTCTAGCTACCCCCACTGGGGCCCACCTCCTTACCCTTCCCAGCCGGGCATCCTCCACAGAGACCTCCCGGAAAAAGAAGTAGACATGGTCTCCATGCTCCAAGGCATGGACAAAGTGTGGCTCTGAAAGGGGAAACGGAATGGTATGCTCAGAAACGCCCGGCCCCACACAGCCTCTTGCCTTGGCATACACGAACCGTACCAGCGGCCATTTGCCCGCTCCCTGCCACAGTCCTCCCCCTGCACCTCCTCCCCATGAGCAGCCAACCTCCCCCAGGCCCGGCCCTGACCTCTGAGCCACTTGGAGTCGTACTTGGCGGAGCGGAGTGGGGGCTGAGGCCCGAGGCTTCTGTAAACTACAGCATCACTGGCCTGGAAGTCCGCAGCTGTGGCTGAGTAAAGGCTGCCCTCTGGAGGGGTGGTTAGGGTGGGGTCAGGTGAGGGCCCAAGGATCTGGCTCTTCTGGGGTCACCTAACCCAAAGCTTGGGTCTCCCTCAGCCTGACCCTGCCCCCAGCTCAACCCTGCACTCGGGAGCATGGGCAAAGACCAAATCGGAAGAAAGGCTAAGGCCAGAGCCCCCTCCTGCCACAGGCCCGCTTCTTACATGCCTAGGTGCACACCTGCAAAGACAGCCACGTTGGACTGGGTGGCATCAAAGGGGCATCGAGCCTGTCCACTCAGCTCTTCACCCTCCTGCTGCAGCGAAGTTATCTGGAGGCAGAGGGAGCAGGTTCTCGGAATCCTTGGGGTCTTGGAGTCTGGCTCCACAGCCCACTCCCTCATGTCCCCTTGCCTCTTTCCCCCACCCCTTCTGTTCCCTTGCGTTCGGCACTCCCAATCCTCCACCGTGGCTGGCCTGTCCCCACCAAACTGGTTGCCCATCTTGGGTTCTCTTCCCACTCCCATCCTGACCCCGCTGCCACCCGCCTCCGCCTTTGTACCCCATAGCTGCGGCACACGGGGCTGAATGAATTCGTTCCACAGGCAAGGAGTGTCTGAGAGTCCCAGGGAACAAGAACACGAATGTAGTTGTGGCACTCGTCCTAGAGAATCCAAAATTCTAGGTCAGCAACAGGAGTCCATACGATTGGGACAGGGGGCCCAGGACGTTAAGGCCACCTCCGTGCAGCCAGTCATAGCAATGTGGGTAAAGTCCCAAGTAAGCTAATCACTGCCCCACAACCTCAGGCAAATTCTTGGGCCTGCTGGAGCCTCACTTTTCCGGGAAGGAAGGTGAAAATCATTCATTCCTTTCCTGCACATTTCCCCTATGGCCTGAGATGGAAGTGGGTGGGAAAGTGGGCACAGTGCAGGACCGCTCGGACAGAGCCTGGAGGCAGGAAATTCTCCCCTCGGAATTCTCATCCCACTCCTCACCGTCAGCTTTCCCCGTACAGCACAGTTCTCCATGTCTTGACTCCGCCATGTCAGATACTGAAGGGACAAGTAAAGGAGGGAACATCATGGAGCAACCTGGAGATCCCCTCACATTATGGCTCCTTTTGGAGTCCTCGTCCCCCCCTGCTTTATCCCCACCGGACCACTCCCAGCCTCATCTCCAAGCCTGCACTTCCTCCTACACGCCCTCACCTTGTTGGGCACCAGCCCTGTTCCTTCTTCCTGAGCTTGAAGATCGAAGGAGAAAACGTGATCCCTGAAGGGACAGGTAAGGAAGGATCAGAGCCAAGCCAAGGCACCCCACCTGAGCTCCTTAGAGCCCACCCTGCTCAGGTTTAGCAGCTCAGAGACAAACAGTGCAGACCTCCTGCCCTCTGTCCTCCCCCTTACTCCATGCCTTGGCATTTGTGCCCTGGGTCCAAGCATGTCCATGTCCCATGGCTTGTACACCTGCATGTGTCCCCTGCAAGATACTGCAGTGGCCATGCAGGTCCCATGGCTGCTCAGGAGCATGCATGTTGGCCCCACAACTGTGCCACGGTCAGTTTACCGGGCAGCCACTAGCAAGGTCCGGTTCAAGGTCAGGAATTTCTGAAAGTCCAGCCCAAGTTCTGCAACCACAGCATCATCCTCCAGGCCCCGGAACCAGGATAATGGGGAAGTACCTGGAAGACACAGAGATGTGGGGGATGAGGGCCAGCCAGACCTCCCTTCCTCAGTATCCTTCCCGACAAGACAAAGCTCAGCCGTGGACGTCGTGGAAGAGTGAGGTGAGTTGTGAGGTAAAGCTATCAATACAACTATTAAATAATGCTTGCTCACTCTGAGCACTTAACTTCTGCCAACCACCCTGTTAGTACTTGAGAACCACCTAGTTTAAATACAGTTCTGTGAAGGAAGTACTAATAGTGGCCCCATTTTACAGATGAGAAGCCTATGGCCTTGAGCCATTAAGGAGTTCGCATAGCTCGATTAGCTTGGAAGTGGCTGGTACTGGGGTTCCAAGTCAGGTCTGTCTGACTCCAAAGCTGAACTCAGTTCCTTCGGGGGAGGGCAGTGGCGGGGGGTGGCGAGTGCTCCTCTCTAGTTCCCACATCGCACGCTGTCCTGTCTGGAGCACTTACTCCATTTCTCCCAGCCCTTAAGGTTCTTCAGAGGCCACCTCAGCCCTCCCTAGTTCCAGCCTCCCCTGACCCACTCTGGCATCCACAGGCCTGACCATGGTCCTGACCATAGGCCTGACCATGGCGACCAAGATCTTCAGCTCTCCAAGGGAGCTCAGAGTTCAGGGATTGATGTCTTAGCATTTGCAAGGTGCTTAGGCTAGTGTCTGGCACACAAAAGTGCTACTCTTATCCCCCAACCCTCACTCCCAGTGACCCAGCTGCGGTTCTTTCATCCTTAGAATTACTCAAAATCCTACACAAATAACAGGAACTTGCAAATAAAGTTTTTTCTTCTCTGAAAAAAAGTGGCTGTATGGTTTCCCTCACAGCAGGACCCCGGCTTAGTTGTGGCACAGATGGTGGAGAGGGAGGTGAGAGGTGGGGGGGCACCACTGAACCAGCCCCAAGCCTTCGTTGTGTAACTAATAATAATAGCAAACACACAGAAAACATTGAGTGTGTGCCAGACAGCGTTCTCCGCGCTTTCCGAGGATGCCCTCACTTAATCCCTAAATAACTCTAATGAGGAAGAACGCTATCTGTTATCTTCATTCTGCAGATGAGGAGACCGAGGCAAAGAAAGGTGAACCACCTCAACCGAGATCCTGCAGCTCCCAAGCAGCTGGGCAGGGATTCAAACTAGCTAAAGTATGTGGTCCAGCTGGGTTGTCAACCCCCTAGCTGGGTCTGTGTTGTCAACCCCTGTGCAACAGTGTGGCCTCAGAGTGCAGCAAGTGGGCCCAGCAGCGATGGGCAACAGGCTTGAGTGCTGCATCCCCCCCTCCACTTCCCTCCGCTGCCTATCTTCCTGCACCTCACCTCCCACCCTCCCTCCTCCCTTGCTGGGGTCTTGAGTGCTGAGCTCACACAATAGGGGGGTGGGCCGAGGTCACTCACCTTGCAGGTCAGAGGTCAGCAGAGGGAGGGGGTCCTGGGGAAAGGCCGCCTGGGTGTGGGGAAGTGAGAGCAACAGCAGCAGAAGCAGCAAAGGCATGAAGTGGGGGGCACGGGGCATCCTGTGCGGGGCAGCTCAGGCCCCAGGGGGTGCCTCCTCACCCATATGCCAGCCCTGGAAGGAGACAGACAAGAGTGGGGACGGGGCTGAATCCTTCACACTTAACACTGGCAGGCTGCTTCCCTGATCTATCCCCAGAAGACCCTGCGGGCTGGGGGAAACAACCCTTTCTCTGGCACTGCCTCGGTCCCAGCCAGCTGTCACTGTCACTCAGGGCGTTTCTCTCTCCAACTGGCCCAGACTGGCTAGTGTGAGGCCTGCAGGCATGACCCCAGGTAAGGACAGGGCACACCCGCTCCCCTTCCAAGCCTTCTCACTCAGCCTCCTCTCTTCTCTCCTGACTGGGCCTGGGACATTTGGTAGGTGACACCTCCTGGCCCCCCCTCTTGCTAACCCCTTCTCAGTTATAATTAGACACCAAAGCCTTAAAATTATAAATAGTGACTCCTTGGCACTGGGAGGAGGAAGAGGGCACTATGTCTGCCTCCCCCTCCCTCACAGACCCCTGTGGTACCCTGGGAGCCATGCAGGCACTGTGCCCAGGCAGAGGCAGCTGTGAAGAAGCTATCACCCTCGATAGGGGTGAGGAAGAACAGAGTGGGGGGAGGAAACCTAGGGGTCACCATCCTGGTCTAAGTTCATGGTTCAATGGATCTTCCCATTGCTGGGGAGAAGCTGGGTGGGAAGGAGAGTGGTAGTGGGGGGCTGCCTTAGCCAAAAGTGAATCTGCATCAAAGCCAGATCAGAGGCTAAATTTAGCTCTGGCTGCAGCTGTCTGCCCGACCACTGTGCCCCCTCCCAGCTTCTCTAGCCCCCTGTTCCCTCCTGGCTCCGAAGAACCAGTGCTCACACTTGCCGAGGAAGAGTAGAACCACCCCCCTACGAGGAGCCAGGCAGGGAACTGGCTGTCCTGGTGAGGAGAAACAGTTGCACATGTATGTCCCTCTCTCCCTTCCTTCCCTCTTCGGGCTGCCTCAAAATGGAAATATAAATAATTCAATGACAGGCAGGCAATGGTAGCCCAAAGTCCAGGAAAAGATGGATATGGTCGGAGGGACGGGAGACAGCCGTCCTTCCCACCAATCAGCACTATGGCCCACCCCCAGCTGACCCAGGTGGAACCCCGTGGGAGGTGTACACCAGCTGCCTGCCCTCCTTCCCCTCGAACTGGCGTGAGGGGCTCAACCGCTCCGAAATCAGGGCAGGAAGGGTGAGAATCCTTTCTTGCTGTGAACAGACTGCTATTCTTCACCCATCCTTAGGTGCTCATCCTGCCATGTCCCCTAAACAAGCGACCCTGGGCTTCCAGGACCAGCCCATTCCGTCTGCCCAATTCCACTCTTGAAGCCAGGACCCAAGTGTACCCCACCCCCAGTTCAGCGTCACTGGTGGGGAGGCTGACATCGGATGGGGTCCCAAGAGGGCTGGAGGAGGGGAAGGGGTAGGAACACCTAATGATGACCCACCCCCCCAGGGACAGAGCAGTCATCTGCTAACTAACGACCCCCTGGTTCTGAAAGGCCAAGCCTCCCTAACCGCACACACACCCCCCACCCCGCCATGTTTCCGGATGCTGTTGGTCCCAAGGGAAGAGAAAGGGACACAGCCGGTCTCCTATCCTCCCCCTCCAAGTTGCCCTGGGCAACTGGTATCTTCACCCAGGAAACAACTTTGGTCTCTGGCAAGTGGGGAGAACAGCCAGACCCTCTTCCTGTTCCCAGGCCATGCCAGCTTCCATCTCCTGCCCTCAGGAGCTGCTGCCCTTTCCTTACCTGGGGTGATGACTCCTGTGGGGGTTTGAGGGGGATAGGAGACCTCTGACCTGATGAAAGAAGGGACAGGAGGGAAGAGGCTTAGCTACACCTCTTTACCACATCCCTTAAAAGAAAATGTGAAAATTCAGAAGTCTACTGAGGCCAGGGTAGGGGACGTGCTGCCCTGGAAGAGTGTGTGTGTGGTGGGGGGGGAGTTGACATTAAGCTTGATTGCAAAGGTGCTGGCCGCTTTGTGCCTAAAGATGTGAGGGCAGGGGCTGGGGCTGGCTCCTAGCCAGAAGCTCCTGGAATTGCACGACCAGTCCTGGGGAAAAGGTTGACTGGGAGAGTTTGTGGGGGCAGGATGACCACCCCCACATTAAAACCCTCAGAATCCAGCAGGCTTCTTCGCAAAAGCGTCCTAACTGGGGACAATAGAGGCTAATTTGCATCTCATTTACATGCTCTTCATTTCTAGGCAAAATGCTCTGATAGCAAGCACCCCCAGCCCCTTTCTTCTTCCCTGAGAGAGCAGGTCCTGCCTCCCTCCCACCCAATGTCTCTGCACCCCACCCCACCCCCAACTTAGACTGGATTAGTCCAGCCTCTGAAAACACTTGGTTGGCCTTTGCATTGGCCCCCTAGACTTAAGTATAATACATCTTTAAGAGGGCTTGCCATATCTGTTTTTGGAGAAGCAGTATCTAAGCAGTCCCCATCCCACTCCAGGCCTGGGGAGAGGCTTACTCCGCTGGGACCAACCCCAGCTGCATAATATCCCCCATCTGAGGAAAATGGCGGGGGGCTGGGGGGGCTGGCTGTCTCTATCTCCCCCTCCAAGGTCCTCCCTTTGCTGGGAGAGGAAACAGGCCTTCTCCCTCCTCCTGGCCCTTGCAGCCACCTCTGGGGAGTGGCCAGGTCATAGCCAGAGTCATAAGCAGAGTCTTGGGGGAGGCTGGGGAAGGGATGGAGAAGGGGAGACTGGGCTGGGGACAATAGCAGGAAGCTCTCAGGCTGGTTGCCCACCCCAGTCCACCTTCCTCTGGGGGAGTAGAGGAGAGGTAGAGGGGGTGAGGGGCGCTCTGAGAATCCTCGAGGAACAGGCTGAAGGCGCCTTCCCTTCTTCAAGACATTTCCCCCACACCCAGCCCCTGGCTCCTAACCTTCCCTCCTTCCTACCCAGCCCCCAGCGAGGTTAATCCAGGTGTCTAGACCCTGGCATAAGGTGGGCCCAGGGCCAGGGGCTCGACGTGTCTCCCCTTCACTGGATCTGGGGCTCCAAGAGGGGCGGGTAGCAGAGTCTGGACCGGGACCGGGTCCCAGAGCCACGTTAGCGGGAGGAGGGGCTGGAGGGGCCTGCGGGCGCAGACAGAGTGGGGATGGGAGCGGGGACTGAGTAGCGGAGGCGGGTCTCCGAGGCCAGAGAAACAGGGCCAGAGGCTGGGAACCGAGGAGGGCAGGCCTGGGACCAGCGCTGAGCGGGGTCCTCGGGCTCAAGGTGCAGTCGCCAGCCAGGCTCTTCTCCTTCGGAGACCCCGGTCTAACAAAGCCCCGGGGCGAGTGGGGTGAAGGAAGGAGGAGAGCATGGAGACTGTTGTTTCTCTGGGGGGGCCCCCCTTCCCCCACTCTGCCCAAGCCAACCCCCTGAGAGGTGCTCAGACTCCCGTTTGCACAAGGACAGAGGTGCAGGCGTCACACCAAAGTCCGAACGACGCGTCCCCCTTCCCATCCCTGCAGGGACCTCGAGAGGGTCCAGTTCTCCGTGGGTCTCAGAGCCTTAGTTTTCCTGCTGGGGAGTCAAGGGACCAGATTTTCCACCCTCTGTACGGTGCGCGCCTCAAATAATGGCCTTTCGCGCTCCCCAATGCAAAGGACGCGGCTCGGAAAAACCCGGTGGGAAGAGGCGCCCGGACCCTGCGCCCAACAGTGCATTGACAGGGTTCGGCCACGGTTCCCTCCTCCCTCCGTGCACCCCAACTCCGCTGACCCTCTCCGTCAGGCAGGCACACAGCGCGCTGGCACCCTCCCGGGTCCCTCTCGCATTTCGGAAGGTTGTCCCCAGCCTGCGGCGCCCCGGGTCCTCCTCGCCTCCCTGCAACCCCATCCCCGCTCCGGGGTACTTGCTCGGAGATCCGGGTCAGCGGGACCAAGATCGCAGCGGGCGGGCAGCGGCCCCGCACCGCGCCGAGTTTGCAATCCGTGATTGGGGCTCTGGCGAGACGTGACGAGCGTCCGAATGGGATGGAGCTCGGATCCGACCTCGCGGGTGCAGTCGGGTCGGGCAAGTCCTGGGTCCCAGTCGCAGCCCCCACTCCCGCCGCGGCTCCGCGCAGGAAAACAATGCGACCGCCCGGGGCTCTGGGCCGGGCCCCAGCGGCCCCGCCCGCCTCCGACTGGCCCCGCCTCAGGTCCGCCTCTGGGTCACCGCAACCAGTCCGGCTCTCAGAAGCTGTCTGGACACCGCCTTCTCGACACCTCTCCACCAGTAGTCCTTCTTGAGGGCGGAGCGTAAGGAGCACCGCCCATCGAGAGGGCCCGGCCGGGAGGCTGAGCCTGAGACCCAAGCCTGGCGCTAGATGGAGAGACCCGAGGACCGTCGCTAAGACTCGGACGGAGGGGATCACATGCTTTAAAATGGAGAGGCCTCGGGAAGAAATCTCACAAGAGACGCTGAAAGGAGCGACCGACGAAAAACCCGGAGACCTTGGCTGGGCTGAGCTGTCAAAGCCGCGCGACTTTCCCTCCCTCCTTTCTCCCCAGGGGCCTTGGCTATCCTGCTTCCGCTTTGAGAGTCTCCCCCCTCAACCTCTACTCTGCCCCAACCCTCTGTCCCTCCTCTCTACTGTTTTTACTTCAACCTTCTTATGTCTCCCCACATGCCTCCTCCCTGTATTCATCATGACCCCAATAAGGGAGGCCTAGCATGCACTTGAGGGCTTGAAGCCTGGGAAAGGAAAGGAAGATGTCACCAGGAGGTTTTTCTTGTACCCATCATCTCCTCCCCTCCCACCCTGTCAAAGCAGCATGGGCTTGGGCCATTAGGCCAGGAACTAGGGAGCCGGGAAGCCAGGGTCGCTCGCAATCAGGCTATTGGTTGATGGAAGAGGACAGGTGAGTGGGGCTCAAGCCAAAAGAGAGATGTGAAGACTGGGACAAACTGACTCAGAGAATCACACAGAAAGAGGAGTAAGGTGGAGACTCCAAAGAGGGAAAGTGACCAGCTGTCCCAACCCCACATAGCCTGACTGGCCCCCAGATACAGGATTAGTGTTGTTCCATCTTCCTTTAGAGAGCCCTGGAGATTCTTCAGACAGCAAAACAGCTCCTTCTCCATCTCCACCCTCCATAAAGACCCTTTGATTCTGGGAAGGTCAGCAGGGAGTGAAAATGAGACTACTTCAGACAGCACTGCTTGGCTCCCACCTTGGTATTGCCTCCTTAGATTTTTCCCTGCGTGGGGGCTGGGACAAAAGACGTTCTCAAAATTCCCAGGAGAGTGGGTGGCCTGGGAGCTATTGGCATTCTTGGATAGTTTTATCTGAGTGGGCACCTCCTTTCGCCTCCTCCTACATACTAGTCTCTGGACTGGAGGAGAGGAGGGGCAGGGGTTTGCTACTTATGGCCAGTCTTTACTGAACTGAGATCAGGATGGGTAGCATCGCTGACTGGGCTAAGCCTCACAGCGAGTAACCAAGAAATATAAACATACACACACATGCACACACACACAGAGACATGGAGATGGAAGACCAGGTGAACCAGTGAGACTAATCAGAAGCAATAGAACAATACTTACACAAGGCTAATTACAGAGGGTCTTGGGTCCAAGGCAATTCGGTGTTTTAAAGGTTGTAAAGAGGTTTTGGGAGAAAGACAGCTCAAAATATAGAGGCACTTGGAGGTTGAAAGAAATCTCCCCAGCTCTTAGCAAGGACTTAGGTAATCAACTATATGCTCATTAAATAGATTAGTGAATGGAGATTGAGGTGTAATTTTTTTTTAAGATTTTATTTATTTATTTGAAACAGAGAGAGAGAGATCACAAGTATGCAGAGAGGCAGGCATAGAGAGAGAGAGGAGAAAGCAGGCTCCCCGCTGAGCGGAGAGCCCGATGTGGGCCTCGATCCCAGGACTCTGAGATCATGACCTGAGCAGAGGCTTAACCCATTGAGCCACCCAGGTGCCCCAATTGGGGTGTAATTTATTTAAAATTTTAGGGCCCAACTAAAATCTCGGTTCCATCCAGTAAGTATTAAGCACTTACTTGAGGTACAATCCACTGTGGGATGTGGTCCCAGTCTTTAAAAAAAATGACCATCTACTCTCCCACCAGGGCAGCCCCAAGAAGGAGTGCCCCAAGACCACCAGCCCATGACAGCCACAACTCCAGCCAGCCAGCCAGCCAGCATAAGTCACCAGGCACACAGTCTATACAAATGATGACCATACAAAGGCCATCCCTTTAAGTTTAAGAGTAGTAGCTATTCCACTAACTCATAGAAACAAACACAGAAAGGGGTGCCTGTGTGGCTCAGTAGGTTAAGTGTTTGACTTTGGCTCAGGTCCTGGTCTTGGGGCCCTGGGATGGAGCCTTTGTCAGGCTACCTGCTCACCAGGGAGTCTGCTTCTCCCTCTCCCTCTGCCCCGCTCCTGCTTGTCCTTGCTCTTTCTCTCTCAAATAAATAAAATATTTAAAAATAAAATGAAATCTCGAAGGTAAGAAAAAATAAACAAAATGGCCATTGGGGTGCTTGGCTGGCTCAGTAGGTAGAACGTGTGACTCTTGTGGTTGTGGGTTTAAGCCTCATACTGAATGTAGAGATTACTTAAAAATAAAATCTTTTGGGGCACCTGGCTCAGTCGGTTAAGTGTCTGCCTTTGGCTCAGGTCATGATCCCAGGGTCCTGGCATCAAGCCCTGCATTGAATTCTCTGCTTCTCCCTCTCCTCCCTGCTCATGCTCTCTTGCTATCTCTCTTTTGTGTGTGCAAATAAATAAGTAAAATCTTTTAAAAAAGAAAACTTTGTTTTTAATTAATTAGTTATTTTTATTATTTAAGTAGGCTGCA